CAAAGACGGCACGGCATCAAGGGGCAGGAGCCCAGGCTGTGGCCGGGCTTGAAGCAGTACGAGCAGGGCTTCTGACAGTCCTTGACCATGTGTCCGAACTGTCCACATCTGAAACATTTTCCTCCTTTCAGGTTCCGAGGCTGGTTTCCTCCTGCATTTGAGTTCCGCCTTCCTTGCTGCTGGGGCGGTGTGCCTGCGTAGTTGACGGAGTGCTGCGCAAGAGGTGCCTGCATTTGGGGCCAGAAATTCTGCGGCTGCTGATTGAACAGGTTGGGGACGCTCTGGGGCAGTTGGGGCGCTGCCTGGGCTCCCTGTTGCTGGAGGAGCTGCTGAAGAGAGACATGCTGCTGCTGCTGTTGGGAGGCAGCGGAGGCTGGGGCCGTTTGCTGTTGGCTCACGGAGCTGGTGCCGGTTGCGGCAAGGATGGCTTCGGTGACTGCGGCTACCAGGTCAGTTGTTTGGCTCCTGCTCTTCCTCTGTCTCCTTCCAGCTTCAAACTTGATGGCTGTTTTCAACATATCTTCCAATGTTTCAGCACTGCTGATCTGGAGGGCAGTTGCAATGTCGTCGTGGAGACCTGCGAAGAACTGGCGCTTCATCTCCTCCTCCAGGTAGTGCTTTTTGACGTTCTCAGTTTCCTCAGCATGTGGGTTGCGAGCCCTCAGCATTCTGTTGGCGGCTGCCTCCAAGCGAAGGTAGAACTGTTTCACATTTTCCCATTCTTCCTGTTTCAGGCGCTCGAAGGAGCTCTTCAGGCTCAAGTAGTCGGCTGCCTGCTCGAATTTGTCTGCGAGGGCCTTCTTCAGCTTCTCGAGGGTCAGCCCCTCGGTCTTCAGTTCGGTGGCAAAGTCAAAAGCTGCGCCGGTGAGGTTGCTGATGGCCAGATTGACGAGTTCACCTTCCGTGATGCCAGGGCAGCTGTACTTGGTACGCTTGATGCTTTGGATGAAGAGCGGCAAGGTCGTGCCATGCTCGTCTCCGTAGTGATTGATTCGCATTCCAGCAAACTGCTTGTTGAGGATGGCGGCGGTTGCCTTGGCTGCGGCGGAGGCGCCGTGTGCCTCATCTGCGGCCTTGTCTGCATCGACCGTGTTGACGAGGAAGGGGTCGAAATCCATGAGGAGCGAGCTCATCTTGATGGTGAGTAGGTACAGTTGCGCGCGCGAATAGCCACAAAAGATAAAAGAGGTGAGATTTACCCAAGTGCAATAAAATGCTCTCAATCAGAGCCCTGAATTTAAATTTTATCTTTAATTCGGTGTGAATTCATTCAATTCTCGCGAAAATAGAAAAAAAATGCAACTTGGTTAAAGTCTCTAGCAAAAGGGAACTTAACTTTAACAGCTCTGGCAAGTCAGCTCGGCAGGTGCCTCCAGGGTAGCAACGGCGTCCCGTCCTAAGGGTGAGAGCAAACGGCTGACTTCAGATGCGGAACCAGCGTCCGGAACGGGATGAGGTCGGATGGAGCTTTTGGTACGGATGAGTCCTTCTGCAGTGGGACGTTCCTCTTGGGGCACAATTCAGCACCCCACACACCTGAACACCAAATCTGTCGTGTAACCACACGACACTCTTGAATTAATCAGCAAGTTCCATTCGAGCGCATCATAATTTAACCAGAGCTGGAGACTGGCCCGGGAGAACTCATTTGGGTTTTAATTTAAGTTTCGGCTTACTATTGGGTTTCGGGGATTAATTGGCCTTCTCGTCTTAATTTATTGTCTCTCAATTTGACTTTTAAGTTTGACTAGTTTGAGTTTCACTTTAAATAACTGATTCCTTAATTTAATTATTATCCTGTTCTTCTTAATTTATCTTTAAGTTAAGCTTTAATCTGAGATTATTCTAGGCTTTAATTTAAGATCTTAACCTCAACACGTGGGGACACGTGTTGGCCAAAGTTTAACTTATTTATCTTAAAATCTTTTAATTAAATCAAGTTAATTCTCTTATTTTAATTTATTCTCTATTGCTTAATTCAGGGTTGCTTAACTTCAATTACTACACAAAGGGTTTAAATTTAATAATAGTAGTTAAGGTTATATTTTCTTAAGTCTAACAAATTACAAGTTTATTATTAATTAAGTTTAAAATATGTTCTAATAAATAGGCCTGATTAATTAAAATTACTTAATTTAAATGAGAGAGAGTCTTTAAAAGGGGTGATTTGGGCTGATTGAGAATTATTACCGGAGTTGTGATGCTAGTGTGGTTGGGCAATATGGCGGTTTTAGAGCAAAAGTGATATACGTCTGAACGGCTTGAGTCTCCCAGGCTGTCTGACTTGTCCGTTGGCGCCCAACCTGGCGTCAGCACGCCAGGTAGGGACGCGGAAGTCAGTGGCGCCGCGGAAGTAGGCGCGCTCGAGAACTTTTTTGAGTTTAAGTGTTTCAGTTACAACGCGGTTTTTACAAATTTTCGGCGGGAATTGACTTTAAACATATACAGGACTCTCTAAATTATTTTTATTTAAATATGGAATGGCCTTTAATTAATTACGTAGTGCTCGCGATGTTGAATCTGCGGCGGTCAGTCTCTCGGCGGTCCGTAGACGGCCAGGTCAATGGCCGGCCTAAGGGAGGGTCACGTCACATTCAATATATCAATAGATGATTTATTGTCAAATTATTTATTTATCGACCTTTTAAAAGGAGCAATTGCCCCATTTTGGCCTTTTTGCGACTGCATTATTCTTTTCAAGAGCATTATTAATTACGATTAATTACTCTCATAATTTAGTAATTTAGTATTTAGTAATTTAAATTTTTCAAAATTCAAACATGAAAAAAAGCCCATTGCAATTGCGGAAAGCATAATGCAATCTTAATCTGAAATCATTTTTTAATCCAATTAATCCTATAGCTCTGCACTCTGCGCGGTCGTTAAATTGCATAGTTGAAGCGAAAATCTTTATTCCCAAACTTGTATCAATATAAAGAAGCTAAAAATAGTAAAATAATTATTTATTAATGGGTGCCCGGTGCATCGTGGTTGGGGCAACTCGCGATCCGCGATGATAACACGCATAAGTTCAAGAAGCTAAAATTGTAAAAAAAATTCATAAATCTCAACTATATTTATTTTCCAATTTTAACTAATTTCATCAGCTTTTATCAATAATTATTTGTTAAAATTAAAATCATTAAGAGAGAATAAAAATCATAATTTTATTCTCATATTTATTTCAAATAAATTTTGGAAAATTTAAACACGTTATAATTATTATAAATTCCTTATATTTACACTCACTTTTTTAATTATTAAAATATTTTTGTCACGATCGACCGCGACACAAGACGAGTGGCGAGAATCATACTTGTTTATCAGAGGATGGCCGCGGCCTCACTAAACAGATCGGTCGCTGCTGCCTGCTGGCTGCTTTGGAGATTTTTGTGGGGGTGGAAGAAGAGAGGGAAGCATGTCAGGTATAGGCAATCGTCAATAACAATAGAGAACACAAAAAACAGGTGATCCAAGGAGACTTAAAAATGTTGAAAATCTCACAAAGCGTATATACAAATAGCATGAGAATGCGCTCCTAACTTATTCTCCTAAATTATTTATTAATTTTACAAAATATAATTATGTGGGTGCAAAATTTTTGACACGGCCAATATTAGGTTCGTTGAAATCAGCATTAAAATTGTCAAATTTTGATGAAAGTGAATTTGAAATTAAAAACCAGAGGTCAAGAGGGCAGCGGGTGACCTAGGGCACTTAGAGCTTTAACAATACCTTCTTACTCTGGAGCTTAAAATTTTGAATCAACCATCGTTAGAATTATGCGATTCGGACCAGTGGGAGCAAAGTATTTGCGCTCGGCAGTTTAGTATGAACATCACATTTTTAAGAAGGTTGAATTAAATTTAAATTATTCTATTGATGCCATTGACAAGAACGCTTCATGTGTTTTGAGCCAAGTCTTTAAGCAACTAATCATAATTAATTTGTGTTTTTTACTTGAAATCTATGTGCTGCAGTCAAAGTTGAAGTGGAAAAATCACTGTAATAATTTTGCATAGATGTTTCAGAATCTGAATTCTCACAATAAAAAAACAATAGATGTATTTGAGCTTCGTTGTGAATTTTCTCAATTTTTACTTCATTAGCAGGCGAGATAATTAATAAAAACTCTGCGACCCGCCTCAAAAATTTTTGGACTAAAAAGCCGCGGTCGTCTCACTCAAGAGAGACATCGGCGTCATTGCGCTGTTCAAGTTTCTGTAAAAACGAAAACTCAAAAAATCGTAACTTTGGTCCTAATGATCCGAATAATTAAATTTTTGAAAAATATAAAAGATTTTTCAATCTCAAAAAATTGGTATAAACATTTGATTAAATATAAAAGATAACAAGCAAGCTATTAGGCAAATATCTCTTTTATGAATACACATAGCTTGTAAAATTTAAAAAAAATATATATATAAATTTGTTCAGAACAGTGGAAAAAATTTTTATACTTTGATCTCATACAATGCACCACAGCCTAATGAAAATGAATGCCTGTAATATTCTTATTTTATTTGGGTTTAATTAACTTATTTTATTTTGACCATGTTCATAAAAATATTCTGCTGATAATTATATAATATTATGTATTTCTAAATTTAAGAAGGTGAAGAAATATGACATATATTTTTAAATGACGTATTAAATATGCATGCATAAAAATATTAAAAATACTTGTTCCTGAGACGCGGAAAAGATAGTACGCAGTGAACTATAAATTCCAGCTTGAGTGTCATTTGCGTGTGCTTTTGGATTCAAATTATAAAAATACGTCGCGCCACCCCGCTCCACAAACAACCGGTTACCGATATCCCCGCCCCCTGCCGGTATAACCGTTTGAACCTGTGAACCTGGCTTCACGCTCGCGATCATCGAAAAACATAGCAGAAGTGGGCGGTACAAGTAGCAAAATCATCAAAATCATGAACCAATCACCAATCATTTGTCGAGTAGTGAGGGGAGGGTAAGAATTGGCGAGCAAGAGAATTCTTGATTCTTGCAACAATTACCAGTCCATAACCGACATTGTTGAACAAATCCACTCGCTGATCCTCTCCGGCTCATAGCGTTTAACTCGCTCGGCCCACTTGATCAAAAGTTTTGTCAAAATTTTGAGGGCTCCTGATTTTTAGCACTTCAGCCACTTCAGGTAACTTTTTTGGCTTTCTAATATTCCAAACGAAACTTTTAATTTTTTTCAGACGTGCCGATGATTATGGCGGAGAAAAATCCTTTTGCTGGACCAATCCGGAGAACCGAAATTCCAATTTATCGTGACGAAGTCGACAGGTATTACATATTATTATTGATTTAGGCAAAAAGTAAAAACATGATTTTTTATTTTTCATTATTTTTCGTTGTCATTTAGCTAAAATTAAAATTTTTACAATATTAATTTTTACAAAAAATTATTTTATTATAATTGTGTACTTGTGTGTAGCGGTGTATGTATACATACACATACATAGAAAATTAATAACACTAGTCACTCATATTAACATTTTTTTTGCCATTATTACAGATTATTACATATTTCAATTTTTTTAGGTTCCGTCAAGAGACATTGAAGGTCCAAGAAGAAAAGGATGAGCCTACGTTGATCAGGCAGTTATTAAGCGAATCCCTTTCCACCTGCAGAGGTGAAGTCGTTAACCTTTACGAAAAACTTAGCCCTGACTTGACGCAGTTCAAGGACAAGATTGACACTGGAGTCGCCCATGCTAGTGGTTTGTAATTCTAAAATTTTTTGATAGACCTAATTTATAAACTGAATTTGTTTAGGTACCCTTGAATACCTGAGGCAGGAGGAAAATGACATCCCCAGAGTAGGCGCTGTGGCAATGGCCGGAATGGCTGGACTCATTTTCGGACTGCGAGGAGGCTTTTTCAGAAAGATTTTCTACATGTCCACCGCCTCTACAGGCAATTACATTACTTCTGTGGCTATTTCAAAAATTACAAGTATTTAAAATTTTAGGAATGGCAGCCTTATGCTATCCCAACCAAGCCATTGAGATTTCCAAGGACTTGGTGGTGAATTCTAAAAAGTATGCTCTTATTGGATACAATTTTGTGAAAGGAGGTGATTTGCAAATTTTTATTAAAAATTGAAAATTTAAGACAGAAAATTAACATTCCAGCAGATTCTGTTGAAAAGACGGGTCCGTCTCCAGTAAAAATTGTTGTAAAACCACCAGAGGCCCCTAAGCTAACAATGAAAGCTTCTGTGGTGAGCTTGCCTATGTTTTATGTTTATAAAAAAAAGAAACGTTGCCTCCAATAATTTTTTTTAATTTAATGTTTTTTGCAGATCAAGGGAGATCCAGGAATGTCAAACCCTGAAGACAAAGACCTTTACACCACTCGATCATAGGTTCAGGTGGGATGATATCACTCGTAAACGTTGTTGGAGCTAAAGGGAACTTCATTACAGAAGATTCTTTTGTTGTAGCTGTAAATAGTAATTCTTATAAGTCGGTTCTATTACAGGATGATTAAAACTAATTTACTGAAATCAATTTATTAAAAATAGCAAAAATCCTTCATCATCATTAAATTTCTCTTATGTTTATTCTCACCAATGGGATGAAACAATGAATTTTTTTGCATTGTAGTAAACCAATCGGAGGTGGTACCAGTTTTATGGTATCATATCCGATTGGTCGTTTAACAATGAAAATAACTTAGTCTGCATAATATTTCAACAAACTTTCAAACATTTCCCTCATATTACTTGAAAATCTGCGCATAATCGCATCAAAACGGCCAATCAGAAACGAGTAAAAAGGGGGCGTGGATAGCGATAAAACCATAACAAAAATTTGACGTGAGACGTGATTAATTTTTGAATGTGATATTTGCCAAAGAATTTGTTGTTCTTCCCGATATTTTGGTAAGTTTTAAATAGGAAACTCAAGCAAAATAATTTGTGCTAGCCATTTTTGTAAGCATTCAATTAAAAATTTACGAAAGTATCATAATTTTCAAGTCATTTTTACAGGGCCACGTATTCAATAATAATTATGTGTTTTCAGGTGACAATGATTGAGTTGACAGCAAGATTGTTACGCGGACCTGTGTACCTTGCAGGAGAGATGGTGGAATGCAGTGTGACCTTCCGAAATCCATCACCTCCTGAAAATACTCGTTCACAGAGCAACAAGTAAATTTTACGACAACTTTTTGTATTCAATCATCTTTCTGAATATTTCATTAAATTTCCAGTGACGTTTTTGAAAATCTTGCGTGGGCGAGCGTGCAGATGCACTGCATTTGTGCTGTAAATGAGTCCCGAGTTTCTGGTAGCCAAGAAGGAAGCTCCGTCGAAGAGGCAGCAAACAGTTTGTCTCACACGTCCTACGTTCCTTGCAAAGGCGAGAATGGCCAAATTGTACTTGCTACAAAACCAAAAATACTCTTTTGCGACCTTCGACTATCTTCGGGAGAGAGCAAGACCTGTAAATAATTTTTATAATCAACGCGTCACATTTTGATATAGCATTTTTATTTCTTTAGTTTTGTACACTGAGACTCTACCAAGTGAGGCACCACCATCATTTCGAGGCCAGGCTGTCAAATATTCATATAAGCTTACGGTTGGCGTCCAGAGAGTGAACCTACCAATTAAAATGTTGAGGGTTCCCCTGAGAGTTCTCGTTATCCAAGGTATATTTTTTGTTTTGTTAATGTAGAATTTATTGTTAAAACTTTTCATTTACTTTCAGGAATAACAGAAACATTTTTGTACGGAGAAAATGATGAGCTTACCCCAAACAATCCTTTTTTGGAACACCAGCAAAAAGAGTCAGCCACAGATCTTGCGTTGCAAGAATTGCAGGTTTGTGTTTCAATCATTCTATTGATTTTGGTCTTTAAAATAATATTGATCTTTTAGAACATAACAGCTAGACGAAGTCCAAATTTCTACAACATAACCAATAGCCGTGGCAAAGTTGTGCGATTTTGCTTGTTTAAACAGGCATACAAATTAGGAGAGGACATTGTTGGCACCTTTGACTTTGTAGACGCAGCCGTTCCTTGTGTTCAAGTACATTTTTAATTTGAAAGTCAAATTTTTATTTTGAATAAAAAATATTTTCAGTTGTCCGTGGCCCTTCAGAGCGAAGAAGAGATAGAGGAGGGAAGACGGCACCATCCAAACCAGGCGCCTGCAGTTTCCATCTCGAGCAAGGCCCACGAAGTGTGTCTCGGTCTTCAGAATTCCCACCTGTGCCTGCCCATTCCCCTGCACCTGGCGCCAACCTTCAGCACCAATCTTGTCTCACTCAAGTGGAAATTGCATTTCGAGTTTGTTATCAGTGTCGAACCAGAGGCCGATCTGAAAGTGATACCAGACGACGGGGGCACTTGGCAGGGGCCTGCGAATCTGCCCATTGAAACAATGGTGTGGGACCTTCCAGTAACAATTTACCCTTCCAACCCACAGCTCGTGTCTCAGGGCATCCGAGCCCAGACAAAGCACGAAATGGTTTTCTAAAGAATTAATTAGTAAATTACTCTCAATGAAGGCAAGAGAATTGGAATATTTATATTGATCTTAAAATTTTCTTTAATAATTAAAATATTAACCTGAATTTTGCTAAAAATGCCCATTTTGAACTTTATCTGCTGCTTATATTACTTATGGAGAAAATTCCTAATGAATTTTATTATTGTTGTGTAATAATGAGTTTTAATTAAATATATTTTTTATTATATAAGAAGTTTGCAGTTTTAAACAAATGGAACTACTTCAAACTAATTTATTGGCTGCTTTGAAAAAGCCAGCAACAATGACAGACACAATACACTTTTAATTGGTTGGAGAGATTTTCACCTGTAATACACATTCACCTCTTTTTTTAATATTACATTTTTCCAAATAGAAAAAAATAATCCCGTCAGTCGTTTGCAAGGGCAACTCAAAAAGTCTCATCAGTCTGCTGCCCGGAGCAAAAGTTTTGGGAGAGAGTTCAGTTGTTTGTCAGTAAAAGATGAAATCGGGATTCTGTGCGAGCCGTCGTTGGAAGTTGGCATACCAGGTCTGCATTTTGGACATAGGCAGGAAGGTCTCATTAGGGTTGGGCGTCATTTCAGATTGCGTGATCCCGAAGCTGGTCATGTAATTGACAAAGTTGTCTAGCATCTTCTGCGTGAACTCGGCAAACTTAGACCCCTTGAAGGGCTCTGTGGTGATGGCTGGTGTTGACTGCTGGATGGTGAAAAGTGGCTCGATGGACAGCCCGATCTGCGCCAAGTGCGAGAACTGCTGCTGTCCGAACTGCGTAGGATCGACAACTGTGTTTGGGGCATGCTTCAGACCGGACACTTTGAAAATGGCCGAGGGTTTGTCGTTGGCCAGGTGGCCGAGTAGCAGCCAGGTTGGCGGAGCATTTGGTTCGGGCCAGCTGAAGTAAACCTGCGCTCCGTAGCCCTCGGGAAATGGGGTCGTTCCAGTCATAAACACAACAATGTGGTTGATATTGTCCGCGTCCGCAATTGTGAAGACTGATTGCGTTTCAGTGATCTGCTCGCACTGCGTTTGAGCCTAAAAATTTTGCAAAATTAAATTAAGTTGAAAGAAAATTTTTTAATTTTAAAAAAATACGTTTTAATTAATTTAACACCAATTAATAACAATTTTAATATCTCACCAATCGTCCTGTGACCATTACAGCAAACATTTTGAATTTTCTAGCGGTATTATTGACTTAAAATTGTTAAAAATTTCGCATAATACGCCAAATAATTTTATTTAATTATAGCGAGAGACACTATTATAATATTTAGAACCAAATTCGCAATGTAAAAAATGGTTAAAAAGCCACGATGTCTTTCTTCACCTAACTGCGACAGACAAAAAAAACTGGCCCAAACAAAATCATAACAAACGGTACGCATGCGCAATTTGCGAAAAATACGTCAGGAACCGTCCAGAAATGACGTTCCAGAACAAAGAACGAAATCCAAGGCGCGGCGCTCACCCCGCACGGCGCACGCACAGACATGTGTGTGGCGATGCGCGGGAGAGAAAAGGCCGAAAAGGGGGAGGTGGCTCGGCTGCGAAGATCAACATCAACATTTTCATCAGAAAATTGTATTTTTTTTTTTTGCAACTTGCTTGAAAAGGAAGAGGAAGAAAGTTTAAATCAGTTTAAATTACGGAAAATTTTATAATTTGACCTGGTCTTTCAAAAGTAAAATACACGTTTTTTTAAACTCCATCCAATTCAATTTGAGAAACCACTTTTCAGCCTCTTATGTAGAATGGGTAAATTTCGTAAATTTGTTAAATCTTTTTGTTTATGTATTGACTATATATTGACTCCAAGAAAATAATAATTAATATATATGTATATTTTTAACTCTCCAGAGAAAAAAAGGAAATACGACGAAGCAAATCAAAGACAAGGGTTGATGGACCTGAGAGAGATTAAATTTGAAAATTTTGATCCTGCCAAACATTTTGAGACTGAGCCTGTCAAAGAACGGGTTTACCCATCTGAAATTGCCGTGGATCTTGAAAAGGAATACTTCAAGCATTTTGCAGAAGCAAGTCCTAATTATTAATTTTATGCCTTATTAAATTCTAACCCTGTTTTTTTTCTAGAGTCAGGAAAGAAATGTCTTGCGAGCCGCCCTTAGCGAAGAGAGCCGTCGATGGCGCTTTTTCCGCAAACAAGATGATCTTCTGGATTGCTTGCAGCACAACCAGCACTTGGGAGTGCTGCCTTTTGTCTTTCATGACGCCCTCAGGGGTATCAGGACATTTGTTCTTGTCCACCCCCTTGAGCTTCTCTATCGCACAAGCAAAAGGTTAAATTTTCTCAGTACATCTCAGTAGAAAAAATTATCAATATTAAATTTATCCTTTCATTAATTTTCAGGCCTTTAAACTACTTTTATGAAATTATTGCTGCTGACATGCCATCTAAGCTTTATTTAGATTTGGAGTATGACAAAAAGGTATTATTGAAAATTTTATTTCAAGCCAATAAGTATAACAAATGTCGTATATATTTTAGACTAACCCAAATTTGGACGGGGAGCAAATGACTCAGACGGTTATTGACTGTTTCCTGCAGCACATGAACACAAAAATGTTACTAAATCTTAATCGCTCCATGGTCATTCAACTTGATTCTTCAAATGACTCCAAATTTAGCAAACACGTAAATCATTTTTGTACTGGTTTTTTATTTTTTACTTAGTTTTGTGGTTGCAGATTATTTTCAATACCTTCTTCAGCTTTCAAAATAACCGGGCTGTGGGGGACTTAGTCCAAGAAGTAACACAGCAAGGGCAGCACCCAGAACTGAAGGTCTTGAAAAAAGACGGAAGCCCAAGCTGCATAGTCGATTTGTGCGTTTATACCAGAAATAGGCACTTTAGGTAAATTTTGTATTCATATATTATAAAAAAAGGTTAAAAGATTTAGATAGAGTTTTTAAACACTTGATGTAAAAAAAATTTAAATCTAAATAGGATTCTGGGCTCCACCAAGATTGGTCGAAACGCACCTTTGGTTTTGAGTGATTCTTCTAAGGCTGAGTTGGCCTTGCCCATTTTGAATGAAACTCTGAAGATGGAGACTCTATTTCTAATGAGCCTTGTTTCTGCACGGCACTGCCCCGTCCTCCTCTACTCACCCCTAACTAAAATTGACCCTCGTATTCCAAGAAGAGGTAAAGCATCTAAAAAGTCTGCTGTCACAACAACCCAATACGATCTTGGTTCCGGACTTCCTAATCTCGATGCCTTTTTTGAAAAAGTAATTAAATAATCTTTCTCCAATATGTGATTTTTTTTATATTTTTATTTTCTTCAGATCTTGAAGCCAGTCGGCCTAAAAAAGGTACTGAGCTACCCTGGAGGGCGAATCGTTTATTCGTCAGGGCCGTCGGGATTTTGCCTGAATAAAGGAACTGCTCATCAACGTCACAGAGTCTACTGGGTTGTGATCAAAGATTTGGGCGTTTTCTATCAGAAGTGCGGAGACAAGCAAGACTGTGGTAATTTTTGCTCAACACTCCAAACATTGCCTGAACCTTTGTTGACTCAAACAAGAGGACCTCTCGACCCATGGGAGATGTCTCTCTCTGGGCCCTTGTCAAAAACAAAACTTAAACTAATTAATGATAATGAGGCTTCAAATATTTTGTTGTGATATTAAAAATGAATTTGCTGATAAAATTATTCAATTTAAAAATGTCACAAATGCAAAATTACATATTTTTGGTAACAATTGCTATATTTATTTTAAATTTAGGCACGCACTGAAAAATAAATTTCTCGTGATATTTTGTTTAATTAAAATGTTAGTACCAGGATTTGCTAAATGGCGAATGCCAATTTAAAATTTTCAGCTACATTTTATGTCAATTCCTACTCTTAATTTCTTAATATTTTGCCTCCTGTTCTTTAGTTTTACAAGTTGTTGGCGCACGCAAAAGTAATTAAAATGTATAATTTGAATAATTAATGTATGTTTAAAAAGTTTAAAATGTAATAACATAGTGAGAAGGATAAAATCAAATAAAAATTATAAAATTAGAATTCACCTTTTTTAGCCAACTCGGACTTTCCCGCCATTTATGTCGGGTTTCGATTGGTTGAAGGCATCCGGATAACAGTGATTACACCCACCCGGCAAACGAACAGAATCAAAACAAACGGGCATGCGAATGTGTGATGAACGTATCATTCTACGAATTTTTATGTTCTTAAGATGCGGCGGATGTTGTATTTTTTAAAGCCTGCATCTAAGAAAGTTCATCATACTGATAAGCATCGTTTCAAGGTCTTTGGTATGTATGTTCTATTCGATTTTTTTCAGTCATTCGTCATTTCATTCCCTATGGCTCGACGTGAGGCACTAATGGCACTAATTATTTGGAATTAATGCTTTGGAAATCTTATCAAAAACTATGCTATGCTCGTGTAGTGTATCTTAAGGCACTTTTTAATTTTCGTAGATAGATTCCTAATTTTGATTGGGATTCAAATTGAGATTTTTCCATAATGGCATACTTAAAAGAGTGTTGCTTTTTGCCACAAAGGCATTATTCTTCTGCTCATTTTTAAGCGAGATATGTATATGTTCGTATTATATTATTTTCAATAATTTAAGATTATGTTGAATTTTTAAATGTGTTTGATTGCTTTCCCTAGAATTCATTAAATTTACTTCCTAAAATAATATCCCCGATTAATGCTTGTTCAAAGTTTGGTTTGGTCGACACGTTACATGATCTGATCCCGCAATGGCTACGGAAACCGAAGCTACCTTGCAGCTGCTGCATTCTCTGGTAGACTCTAAAGCTCAAGGGACACATGGACCTCAGCAAGGGGAACCAGGTTGCTCATCAGAAGCTTACAACATTAAATACGCTCAGTTTGACCGGGATGTTACGGACAGAATTCTAAGAGCCATCGAGCAACTCCACAAAGTGATTGAGAATTTGATGCCAGCCGATTACAGTTTGTTCTTTAGAATTTATGCACCTGTGAAGTAATTAAATACTTGTGTTTCAGGCATGAGTCTGAGTATTTTGTTTGACAACAATTGTGGTGTACTGAAATTCGTACAAAAAATCATGTTGTGCAAGGAATTGAACAACATCTTCAACAAGACCCTCGAATTCATCAAAGGATTCTTAGAGAAACTCAAATTGTTTCTGCTTTTGAAGCAAATTGCCGATATAAGGGTATATAATTTTACTTAAAGACTTAAAAAAATTAAGCATATTTTGAAGGGTTTGATGCTTGAAGTTGCAATATGCATTGACACAACTTCGAGAGAAAAGGAGCTAGCTTTGGACAATTTAATTCTGATATTTAGCTTGAGAAGAACCATTCCGTCCAGAGAAGTTGTTCACACACTAAACGCTCTGTACAGATTTGCAGTGACATTTAGAAAGCCACCTCAGAGAAGTAATTAAAAATTAAAATATCAAATCACTTCGAATCTATCATTTTCCTCTGTAGCTTTCAGACGCATTTTTGAATTGTTGGGACTGATTTGCAGAAACTATAAAGATGAAATTGGCTCAGAAGAACTGAAAGTAGAAGAAATGATATTGCAGTGCTTAGAATCACAGGTACTCTTTTATTAATTATATTTTAGAGTATTTATTTAATAATATGTGCTAAATTTGTTTTCAGGCTTTGCTCGAGTCTGACAAATTACAGAGTCTGATTGTCGAAGGTTGTCTGCTCGGAATGAAACACATAATGACTGCAAATCCTTTTTCTGAGGACGGAAAAGAAAGTGCTCAATCAAAACTTTACAAAATCCTAAAACATTTCCTAGACATAAAATTTGCTCGTGATGTTACTCCTGGTGGTCGAGAACTAGTTAAAGGACCTCAAAAAGGTTTGATTTTTTTTCCTTGAATAAGGAAATTTTTATTAACTATGGGAATTTCAGCCGGACTTGAGATTTTTGCAGAGCATGGGTCGCAACTGGCTCCCCTTATGTACAATGACCACAAATTCTGGCATGAAACATTTCTATTCTGGGCAGCCCACAGACATCCAAAGCTACATCAGATTGGATATCAGGGCATCAGCACCTTTTACTACATAATTGGGCAGTACCTACAAGGAAGAAGTGACAGGGAAGACAAAGCTGTGTTTAACGTAAGTGTTAAAACTTGTTAAAAAAAATTAAAATATCCAGCTTTTATTACAACTTTAGTACTTCATGGACTACTTCAGAGAGACGGTGCTGTCCATTGAAAACAACCACACAATGTACCAAGTGAGTTTGGCTATCCAAGGGTTTGGTAATTTTTCAGGGCCTTGTGCCACTCTCATGCGGCCGAAAGAAGTGCACAGCATGTTCCTAACTATTCTTCAGCGAGCAGAGGAATTTTTGAGGTGAAAAAGAAAATTTTGTTAAATCAAATGCAAAAGTAAAAAAAACTCTTTAAAACAATATCTAGATGTACAAAGGAGAATGATCCAAGCTTGGTCTATCTGCCAAAGTATGTGCTGGCTTTGGGTTCAATAATTGGCTCAATTCCCAATGTGGGGCCTCAATTTCAAGCTACCCTTCAGTGCCTTTGTGTTCTCTTGTTTGAGCGATTCCCAACTCTGCCTGTTTTTGCCCACCAAGGCTGTATTGAGGCTCTTTTGGTTACTTTCGACACCCTTCTTACAAAAAAGAGTGTCATTGCAGAGCAGTTTATTGATGAAGTTGGTAAGGTTTTGAACATATAAATTTTTCAAAAATTTTATACCCATTTTAGTTTACCAGTCCATCATCAGAACTTGCTCGCATGTGATTTCCATTGATGCAGAAATTTATAAAGAATCGATGACGCCGTATGCAGCTTACATGCTCATTACCTACGACCGATTCCTTCCTGAATGGGAAGGTATTCTGAATATATCTCAAGAGATTCACTTCAAAGGTAAATCTTATTCGTGATGTTTATAAGCTTTTCTTTTTTTAAATTTGAACTATTAAGGTCTATTGCCTGAAAGATGTAAGATCATTGGCGAGGAAGTTTTTACTTCTTTTGCACAATCAATCATAAAATTGGTTAAGAAACTAGACCTCAAGACTCAAGAGAGAAAACCGAGAGAAACACATGGGGAGGTATTTTTCATATTAATTAAGATTATTTAGTTTCTCTGATTGAGAAATTTATAAAAAGGAAATGGAGCCGACTTTTGCTTCTGAGGTTTGTGGATCAGATCCCGAGACATGCCTGGAAGCGTGCACACCGAAAGACTTTCAAGTGTTTATCAACCTAGTGGATTTGTGCCACGATTTGCTGCCCAAAGTGAAAACAGAAAATTTCCTCAAATGGGCCGACAGTCTGATTGAAACACTTGTTTTCCAAGCTGTCAGGCAGCCCCTTGTCAGCGGGTTTAATAAACTCCTCACTCTGTGCCTTACTGCTTGCCAGAAAGCAAACTACTTCAAAGTTAGTTAATTCTTAATAAGATTGAGAAAAAGTAACAATTTTTATTATATTTAGGATCTTGGTCCTGAGAAAAGCAGAAAAAATCAGATCTTCCTGTTGCTTGGAAGATTTTACATGGACTTGATCAACGGGATGAGTCAGTTTAAAGGAGACCTTTTGCTTTCATGCATCAGGTTATTACTTGCAACCCCAATTGGCCACGTTCCTACTTTGGTTCCATATTTAGCACCTCCTTTCAGGGTATTTTCAAATCTTAATTATATAAACGCAATTTTCTTCAAGTTTTTGCTTTGCAGATGGGTCTGAAAATGGGCATGAGTTACCTCAAAATAACGTCAGAGCTGGTTGAGACATTGTCGAAATGGAGCTTCGAGCTTCCCCCTGGCACTCTTGAGCCGTTTCTGTTAGAAATTGTTCCTCTCTTTGACCAGTACCTCCATAGTAAAGGTCAGAATTCAAATTGCAAAAAAATTCAAATTTAAAATATTAAAAAAAAAAATTATTTCAGACCAAAGTGACAGCTCTGATGCGCCTGTAGAGCTTGTCGAACTGCAATCAAAAAAGCATTCCGTGATTCGAGTGTCTCGGCGCAACAACCAGACAGAAGCAGGGGAAAAAGATTCGGCGCTGGCCTCCTTGCAAAGGAAAATTCTTATTTTCTTGGCACAACTTGACTCTCCAACTTGTCTTTCGCTTCTCAAGGTTGATGATTTCAAAATCGCAGAAGAAGCCATTTCATGGACAACGCTCAAACTACTTAAGCTGGATTTGCCATTTGCTGAGATGAAACCTTCTATCTTTATTGGTTAGGATTTAAAAAAGGCTATTTTGATTTTTTTTTCATCTGATATTTTATTTAATTTCTAGACGACTTTTTGCCCCAAATTTGCAAACTGACTTTAGAAAGTAGTGACAGGCATACAAGAATCACTGCTTGTGAAATGCTCTATTCCAGCGTTCTCTTCATTTTGGGCACTGGTGAGTGTTTAAGGTTTTTATTTCATTTAATAAGAACCATAACATTTAATTTTCATGACGTTGAAAATAGGCTTGATTCTCTTAAATGATAAAAGCAAGCTAGATTTTTACAACATCACCTCCACACTCCTCAGGTGCCAACATCTTAATAAAATTTTCATTGTTTTTAGCTGTGCAATTGAACGAAAAAACGGCCGAGTATGCTGAGTTACCAAAAATCACCAAGAATGTTGTTCCGACTATTTTGCTTTTGGGTTGCGACTCTGATGTCCTTGTAAGACAACTTTTTCAGCCTCTTGTAATGCAAATAGTTCACTATCAGACAAACCAGCAAAAAATTGGAACAAACGAAACTATTGTTCTTCTGGAAAACATTATGGTAGTTGATTTACTGATTTATTTTTCTCTTTTATTTCAAAAGTGTTTTAGGATGGCTTGACTGACAAGGAAAATGTTGCGCTAAGAGACTTCAGTTCCATCTGCCTGCGTGAGTTTGTCATTTGGACTATCAAACAATGTGGTTCAAAGGTGGATCCAACCTCACCAACCAGTCTCGAAGGAATTCTGAGAAAAATATCTTTGCTGAGTCTCCACCCCAACCAGTTCAAAAGACTTGGTACACATTTTTCTCAAATCTATTTTTTAGCAAATTTTTAGAGTGCTTAAATTCTAGGTGCTGCGTTAGCTGTGAATAGTTTGTATACAGTCATTAGAGAGCAAAGATCAGTAGACGACTGCTGGATGGAGCTGCTATACTATCTGGTCAGTAGTTTGCTGATGGTCGATTCAAGCGATGAGTTGACAGGCATCCAAAATCAGACAGTCAAAGCACTTGACCATGTCGAACGAGTTCTCAGAGAAAAATCAGCAATATTCAACAAGGTTGCTTTATAACTTTTTTGTACGTCCCTTTCTAAAGTGAGCTTAGAAATCGGAGCACCGAAAGACTCCACCAGAGTTTGATGGGAATCTTCTGAGAGATGCTGTTCTGTGGCTGTTGAAGAACTGCTCGTCAAGAATAGAGGCTTGTAGAAAAGTCTGCATGGACTTGGTCCTTAAACTTGCTGTGTGGAGTATTCCTGGTAAGCTCATTCTTAAATTAAAGCAATTTAACCATATATCAAAATATATTTCAACAGGCTCCAAGGACAAAACAAGAGCCATCTCGGAAATCTTAAAAGACCAGACAACAAATATCTTCGTCCTTTGTGAAGATGCAGGAGACCATGCCCTGAAGAGGCTTGATTCAACTTCGAACCAAAGTTTACCAATGCAATGGCTGCTAACTTTCCAGGGGTCCCTGGAATGCTACTCTTTTTTGCTCTCCAATGAGCTTGTGCCCCTTCTAAACTTGATCAAAGGGGATGCCCAGGTTTTCAAAGCAACCTCGGACTTCTGCCATTGGACTGTGAGCAAGCTGGCCTCCATGGAAGTAGACGAAAAGTTCACCTTATCAGTCAGAGAAGCAGAGGAACTGGAAGCTGAGAATTGCAAAGCTCTTATTGCTGTCCTCGATTTTGTCTCCTGCGTTTTGGAATCCAAGTGCCTGGAATATGATGCGGCTCTCCTGAGCCCAGCTGTCTGCACTGCAATGAGCCCTTTGCTGGGCAGCAACTTCTGGAAAATAATTTGCTTACTACTTTTTGAACCAGGATCTCTCTCCTTCTCATTAAAAAATCAGTCTTTGCTTGATAAAATGCGCCTCTCCCTAAAAAAGTGCCTTGCAATTTCTCAAAACAAGCTGAATTTGGAAAGTAAGAAGAAAATGGGCAGTGCCTTGAGGAACTACTTTGAAGAACACAAAGAACACTCGGAACTTTTCAGTGAAACTGGAGAGCTTTCCATAGATGAAGAAACAGTTGATGCCAAGCACTGTTTTGTTGAAGGCTGTCTCTTACTATTAGAGTGCAACATTAAAGATTGCATTCACATGGTGATAATTTTTCCTACGCCTGTTTCCAAAAATTATTTGTTAAATCAATGTCTGTATTAATTTCACAATACTTTTTTACAGAACTTGCCTTGGAACACATCAAAAAGAATACTTTTCGGGAATACCCTTTGCGAAAATATATTTGGAAGCTTTTACTATGGACAAGATGAGCTCGTCTTCGTTGCTAAGTGTTCGCCAAGTGCATTTAGCTTCCTGGTAACATTCTTAAGGCTTGCCTTTAAACTTGGTGTACAAGTAATTGAAACTTTGAAAAAATTTCTTCCTTTCACTTAAGCATTTTTAGAAAACTTTACTTTATCACCAACTTCTGAACAACACTCCAGTCGAAGACTTGGAGAGCAAGATTGTTACCACTGTTGGGCTATTAGTTACCAACAAACTGCGAGCTTTGATCTTCAATTACCTGCTTGAATCCCCAGTTGAGTCTGTTTTGTGTCTGCTTAGCTCTGAGGTTACCGATCATCGCACGTCAGAGATTATTCAAATCAGCATTGACGATAAACTAGAAGCTGTAAATATATTGCGTGGTATTCTTGCAGAAGTCCACAAAAACGAAATCATCAGGGAGAGGCAAGTACATAACTTTTAACCCAATACTTACTTAGTTTTTGATTGAATTTTTACTCAGATATCACGGAGAATTATGTCATGCAATTATGCAGAGTTTCCACTTGGTGACAAGCTGCGAGGGCCAAGCTTTTCTGGAGGTGACAGAGTTGGTTGCCTATATTGCTGTCATGATGCCGTCTGATTCTAATGATTGTAAATACATTGTCGAATGGATTGAAAAGAAACTGAAAGCCAGTGACATTGATTTGGGCTTAAAACGACGTTGTTTAGATGCTATCACTCCAATTTTTAATTGGCACGAAGACCACCAAAACCAACTGATGTAATCTCAACTAAAATTTTTAGCCGACTTAATTTCTCTCGATTGGATTATTGTAGGTCAGCGTTAAATGGAATGCAGGCTCAGTTTTTCCCATTGTTTTCAAGTCACCTCATACCAGAGAGTTCTGAAATTGTGAGCTACAAAGCAATCTTCAACCGCCTGCTCACGATCATGCTTATCTCTCAAAGTGTGAAACTTGTCCTCTTTATTGCATCTGTGTCTAGCAGAGACTCGGACCACGTCAGCAAGGAGGAAATCCAAGATGCACTAAAGCTGTTAATGAAAAGGTAAAAAATTAAAATGTGGAAAAATTGAAAAGGATTTATTTTTATTTAGAATGGCGCCTGAAAAACAAATAGAAGTGATTAAGAGTCTGTTTGAAGCATTTGAACGAGAAAAAGAAGTCGACGAGAAGAGTGGTTATGTTAACCAGTACCTAGTTCCTATTCTTGAAAGCTGTCACTTGTCTGTCTTGGAAGAGTTCTTTACCAACTCAATCCAAAATATATGGAAGCACATACAGAGGAAATTTGACCCTGTGCGCAACATTCAGGCTTTCAAGTTGCAGATCATTTCAAAGTCAGGGTGTTATAAGATGCTGCAACTTTTGTACGGCAGGATGAGTCACGCTGACCTTCAACCAGAAAAACCCATTGCTAAATCCTTTAAAGAAATTTCACCTACGACCAGTCTCAACGCTTCAGTCACCAAATGCGCCTATTCTGCTCGTTCTGAGAAAATTATGATTCGTAAAGAGGAAGAGAGTTTATACAGGTATGTTTCCCCCAGTTTAAGGTAAATTGTTCCATGATGCAATATTCCCATGGCTGATCGCTCGATCGGCAAACTATTGCAACAAACTATACTGAAAAAAAAAATTATTGTTTTTCCCATCACCCACCTCCTATCTTGCGATAATTCGAAATTTTGCTATGTGTCATCTGCTATATTTAGAATGGAATCGTTAGCCAATGGACCATAGAATAGTTCGTTGTGGAACAATTTAAATATGATTCATTTGCCCCTGTTAAAAGTAACACAAAATTAATAAAGTCGTTTTTGCAGAGAGTACCAATGCTGCGCTTTGAATACACTGATAGCTGTGATTTGCTGCCTCTACCCTGAAGTGCAGCCCTCGGAGTACCGCAAGTACTCTCAACTCTTATTCCCGCATGCCCCTGATGAATCACACTGGGACAAAATCATTGATTGTGACAAGAATTTCAACCTTCGAATGGATTTTGACCAATTACCAGAGAAAAAACAAATGCTTGTGAACATCCGGGCAGATGCAAGAGATATGCGGCGCAAAACCAACCTGCGAATAGGCAGTGCCAGCCTGAGGTCACAGACTGTTCAATACCTTGCATCTCAGCAACTTTTTGGCAGCTCCTTGTCTGAAGACGTCACTCGATTTGACTTGAGCAATGTTGACGTCATTTGTCCTGAGTCCCAGAGCATCACATCAGAGGAAGATGTGGACATGCAAGAGGAGGTTTTGCTGGAGCTCGACACAATAAACAAACACCCATGTATGCCTATGATATGTGGCGTGATCATGAGACTTGGTGCAAAGATCAAACCTCAGAATGAATTACCACCATGGATGGTTAATTTCAAGGACACTTTGAAAGACTCTCGTACAAAGCCAAATGTGAAGCTCTTCCTTGTCAAGATAATTCTCAATACGGAAGAAGTTTTCCGCCCCTATGCAAAATACTTCATAGAGCTTATCAGCTCGGTCGCTAATGAGAAAGCTCTGGGCAAAGAAGCCAACTACATTTTGACCGACACTGTTTCTATGCTGCTGGGTTGGCACGAGCAGGCCACTCCGGATGCAGCAAACGCACTCCAAAGAATGGAGGCCAGTAATCTGCTATCCTTTCTGATGCGCCTCAGTGTAAATCCACGAAGAGACATTTCCAGATACATATTAGAACTAATCAAGACCATGTTGGAAGTGTGGAAGCGAAGTCTTAGTGTTGATTTCCAGCTGCTCTTTGACCTAATTTCCAAACAGTCCAACCAAAAATTGGTGTACGGCGGACTCCAGCTGGTTGCCGTTCTGCTTGCAAACAAGTTGCTCCCGTGGAACAGCGCCTCGGAAGTGGAGTTTCTGGATGCATTGTTGGAAAAGCACTTTGTCAGTCCGGACAAGAAGACCTTCCACTTGGCGGCAGAGAATCTTGGGCTTTTGCTGAAATGGCTATTTGGGCCTCCAGAACACTGGGGCCAGGCAGCATCTATGGACAGGGACGCACTTCTGAGACGAGTGATTAAAAACCTCAACTTGGTCAAAGAGCAAAAGAGTATTTTCTATATCAGTCTGCACACGGTCCATCGACACTTTCCGCAAGTTGTTGACTCATTCTTGCACCGTATCATGCACGACTATCCTCAGTTGATTGGAGTCTTTAGAACCCAAGCTCTTGACATGGTGCTGAGCAGACTGGAAACTTTAGAGGACAAGTGGCAAGATATAATCAACTTGGGCCTGGATCGACTACTGCTGAGCTGTGAGCCAATAGAGCAAGAAATTGCCCTCAAGATTGTCGTTAAAATGATTTCCGAACTGGACACCCAGCAGACTCTTTTCTATGTGAAAAAAGTGCCAAAAGTTCTCAAAGAGTCGCGAGTGGAAAACCGAGACCATGCGTACCAGCTTCTGATGAGGGTCTTATTAAAATTTCTCCATGCAACTCATGGAGACGAGGCTGAGCTGAAAAAATTGGCAACGGCTGCTTTAGTTGGTGGTCTCTCCGACCCTGAGCCTAGTCTTCAGAAAAAGATTCTTGCGTTTTGGAGGGAAAACGGTATAAACTCCGGAGAAACCCTTCCAGAGCGCTTTGTAAATTGGCTTAGAGTTTTGTTTACCAACAAAGCTGCAAATCTTTTCTTAGGCTGCTTTGCAGAACTGCTGCTGGAGGAGCTCACGTCTTCGCCAGACTTCGAGAGCAACCTTTTCGACCACAAACTGAGTGAATGTGTCTACGAAGAAATGCAGCCGCTGGTCTCATGGCGCACTCAGCACGCCTCTGTACAACAGCCTTTGTTTGTGCAGACTCAGGCCAGTCAGGTGATGTCCCAATCTCTTGGGGGGACCTTTCCTGGTGCTGGATATCTCCGAGCCACTCAACAAGCTTTAGCTTTTGATCCGACATATGACGAACCAGAAGAAGCAGATGATTCCGAATCATTAGGACAATTTGCTGCCAGTCAGTCTAGTCTGCTTTTTAATTTGGTCTCTGCAAAGAAAAGATCAAGAAAATCTTCCATTCCTTCTCAACTACCTGGTAATATTAATTTTTTTTTTTAATTTATGCTATATTAATTTTAAATTTTTAAAGAAATCGAGTCACAGCCCATTTCACACTTCCGATTTGTGTCTGATGCCAAAAAGAAAAGAGCATTTTTTGCCAAGAAGGAGTTGATTTTGAAAAGCAGACGTACAGACATTTCTCGAGAGCACAAACAGAAAAAGGAGGGCCAAGTAAGGCTGTACAGGAAATACCGTATTGGCGACTTCCCAGATATAGTGATTCCTCATAGTGCACTTCTGAGACCTCTGCAGGCTTTGGCAAAGGTTTGAAGGAACGATATTTCTTCTTTTCAGTTTATTTTTATTGATTTTTCTAGCGGGAGCAACAGCTTTCAAAAACACTCATTGTGTCTTTTTTCACTGGAATGTGCTCCAAACTTAAAGAGGCTAATTCGAGCCAGTATGAAAGCTTTCTGCAGGAACTACAACAAGAGCTTAAGTTGATATTTGAGAACACCACTGGCTGTGTGCCCATGCTTCTGAGCTCAATTATGGAAATTTCCTTCAGGGTGGAATTTGAGCTCAATCCAAATCTCATTGTTGATGGTTGGTATTAAAATTTTTCCAAGGATTTTCTAAATTAATTTTAAATCTGCAGTCTGCTCAGTGAATAGTTTGGCGCCACTTGGATGCCTCCTTTTAGAAAAATACATCTCAGTGCCTTCGAGTGAGCCGTTGTCTAAGAAACCACGCCAAGATGTAGTGCAGACGGACCAGGAGAAAAGAAAGTGGCTAAAACTTGCAGAGTAAAATTTTGGGAAATCCCACTTTATCACTTGTTTTATGTTATTAAAATTAATTTAAAGGCTTTATCAACTATTGGAGGACCGTGACATAGTATTAGCCATCATTTCTAAAGCTGCTCAAGATGGCTCGAGTAATGAACTCAAAGAAGCCGTTCAAGCTGAAGCAGTCGGTGATTGGCTCCAAGCACGAAGACTCTACAGTATCTTCTTGGACGAAGTGGACATTTTTTATTTCCCGCCCGAGTATGACTTCACGCTGGACTCTTATTGCAAGGTATTTTTTTTTTCAAAACACGAGACTGTGATCAATTAGACACCTTAGAATATTCAATGTTGGTTGTATCATTATTGTGAAGTTTTAATTTTTGCTGGTTTTATATGTCTTTTTTTACTGTTCATAGTGTCTTGAAAGGATTTCCAAATGGGAAGAAATTGGTGAAAAAATTTCAGAGGTGGCAAATATAGAAGATGGGAATGCGTCACCGTTGTGGCAAGATGCTTGGTTAGTTTTTCAATTTTTTAAAATCGTGAGAAGGAAAATTTAATAATTAATACTAGGAATCAAGAAAAGTTACTCCCATGGTTCCTGAAATCACAGATCTTTGAAATCTTAGAGGGCAGTAAAGAAAAGCATCACCTTTCCGAGCTAGTCAAAAACTGGTTTAATGTCTCCGAGTATTTGAGTGTTTTGAAGGTGTGAATAAAAACTTGTCATTTTCTACTTTTCTTTTGAGTAAAATAAATTATATCTTGAATTTTCAGAATCGTTTTAGTGAAGAGATGTCATTGATTTGTCTGATGAACAATGACATGGAAAAAAGTGGATTCTACTCAAGGCTTGCTCTCCAGATTCTCTTTGAGCAGTGGTCTGTCCTCAGCACTCTGCTCCCTAGATCCAGAGCAAAGAAACTCTCAAACTTGCAAACCTTAGCTGAGCTTATAGTAAGGATCATATAAAATTATTATATTAATATTTTGAATCTATTTTTCCTTATAAATTAGCTATTTGCCGAAGTTGGCGTGCAGGAAGATTTCACCAAGTATGAAAATCAGTTGGAAAGATTGTGTGAAAAATGGAGCCTGAGTCAGCCAAATGCAGTGGACTCGCTTTTGATGTGGGAAGCAAGAGTCGAATATAGGTCTGTAGCTGAATTTGGATGTACGAGCTGATTTTTTTTATTTTTTTCTTTTCACCAGGAGCTACTTTGCTTCAACAGCACTAGCCACACTCGACCAAACAGACTGCAAAAACGCCCGATTATACCAATTGCTCAGACAAACCAAACCAAAACTTGAACTGGCCCTGGTTGATTTGGCCATCAAGCAGAACAACATCAGTGTGGCCTCAAAGTTCATCAAGAGCACGCAAAGAGTATGTATATTATATGTTTAACCTTGTAGAAAATAAATTTTAAATAATTATTGTAGTTACGAGGTGACAGTGAGCTGGGCTTGAAGTGGAAAATGACACTTGGACGTGTGAAGTGGTTAGCGGCTCAAACGAAAAAGGATCCATCTGCCTGCATCAAAGACACAGCTATAGCATTTTTAGATCTATGTTAGTTAAATATTTATACACATAAATTAAGTTAGAAATGCTTAAAAACGCATTTTTTCAGATCAATCGGTTCATGCTCATGCTGGTAGTCTTTTGTCGACCCTGGAGAAACAGCAAAAAGCTACAATCAATGGTGAAATGGGGGAAATCGTGTGGTCCATTGCTAAGTTTTACAGAGACAATGGAAACCTAGACGTGCCGCCAGAACTTAATCAAATATTCTCCACTATTGGCTCTCAACCAACAAAGTGAGGCAAAATTTTATATGATATTATCTTTTAATGTTGTTCTTTTTAGTACTAGAGAATTAATCGAGAGCTTAGAAAGTTATGGCCAAAGCAAGGCGCAGGAGTCTGTTGATCTGTTGATTTCAAATGAGAATATTGGAAGCAATGAAATGGTAGTTGAAGCTCTGATGAGGATTGTGCGACACGCAAGAGCTTTGGATTCCGTAAAACTCTCAAAGAGTAAAAATTTGATTTTTACTGACATGATGACCATGATCATTTTAAATTTTCTGCAGGTGAGGAGCTCGAACTTAAACGTAATTTAATCTCGTGCTTGTTGGAGGCGATGAGGCTCGGATCAAAAGAGGCCCGTATGCTCTTTCCAGGGCTACTCCACATGGAAGAAGTGACCAAAGTTTTTAGCGAGCTATTTATTGAGAAGGTTGATTTCAAAAATTTTTAATTAATTGATTTTATTTATTTATTTGTTTTTAATTAAGGTCAACCAAGTGCCCGAATGGATGTTTCTAGGTTGGTTGAATCAGATTTTGGCCTTCATCGAAACAGACAAAGTGGACATCATTGAGGAACTGCTTTTGCGAATTGGCAAAACGTACACCAATGCACTTGTTCTTCCTTTCCAATTTGTCTTAGAAAGAGTTTCCGGAAAGTATTATGCAGTTCGGCCTAAAACGAAGAAATTGATCAAAAAGTTTGTAAATTTGCTCATACCCATTTTTTTTTTTTTATTAATATTCTCGTTAAAATTCAGGTTAGAATCGATGTTGGTGGTTGACAGCCTGAGTGGCACCATGATCAGAGCGTTTTGCAGTGTGAAGCAGCCAGAAATTGCAATGCGCCCGCACATCATGAACCTTGCAAGAGCGATTACAAAAGGCGACATCGATGACATCAAAGAGCAAAATGACAAGATGCTAATGGACTTATTCCAAGGAGAAAAGCAAGACTTGCTAATGCACGGGGATGTGTACACTTTTGTGGCGGAATTGACGAGACAAGTCGAAAATGCTGTCAAGCCTTTGCTAGAAAATGCTCGAAACTTCAAGGGCAACTGTGAGGAAGCTATGAATGTTTTAAAAATTTTGCTGCCCAAGCTCAACCGTGCTGTTGATCATCTAAAAGTGAACTCGTCAAGAAATTTGGTTGATGACTTTTGTCCTTGGCTGGCAAAATTCCAAGCCTGCAAATTCACAACAGAAGTCGAGTTATTCGGACAGTATACGGGAGATAAAATTCCAAATCCAAAGCACCACATCAAATTTAGCACTTTTGACCCTTCTCTTGTGGTTTTGAAGTCATTGAGACAGCCTATCAAGCTTTCCTTCGTTGGAAGCAATGGTCGGAACTACTCCTACATTGTGAAAGCTGGTGAGGATCTTAGGCAGGACGAGAGGATCCAGATGCTGTTCAAAATGATGAATGGCGTTTTTTCACAAGATAATATTTGCAGAGAAAGGCAATTCAAGCTCAAAACCTATCAGGTAATTTAACTCCTAGAGAAAAAAAAGTGGCAAATGCAACTAATTAATTTTATGTAAAAGGTCAATCCGCTGAACTCTCGGTGTGGTGTCATCGAGTTTGTACCAAATTGCATGACCTTAAAGGAATTCTCTGAAGCAGCTCTAACTAAGACTGAGAAAGCTCAAATGTGGGTTAATTAAAAAATATCGAATTTTGGAATTAAGAATGTGAATCTTTTACAGAAATTCCGTGAGGTATACATTTGAACAGAAAATGTTAAACGAGCTGCCTGGAAGGGCGCACAAGGATAAATTCAAATTTATGTACTTGAATTGGAATGAGGCCAAAACTCTGCAAACCTTCCATCACATGACGAACGCTGCACCACCTGAGCCACTTCTGTTAGAAACAATACAACCAATTTGTTTTCATAACTTTTATTTACACAATTTTCTTCTAGGCGCTCGTTCATGCAACTGAGCAGCAGCAACGAAGGATTTTTCTGGCTGCGCCAAAATTTTACTTGCAATCTAGCCATTCTTTCAGTGTGCCACTGGCTGCTGGGAATTGGCGATCGGCATCGATCAAACACCATGATCTGCCAGAGGACAGGAATTCCTGTTGGAATTGACTTTGGGCATGCCTTTGGATCTGCGACTCAATTCCTCCAAGTGCCAGAGCTCATGCCGTTCAGACTGACTAAACACATTTCCGAGCTCATGGGGCCACTTGGAACTCAAGGCAAGATTTCAAATTTACAGATATTGTATATAATTAACTATTTTTAAAACTTTAGGTACCTTCAGAGCCAGCATGATTCACGCTTTGTGCGCTCTGAGGAAGGATCACGAGTTGCTATTGAATTTGATGCAAGTTTTCATCCAAGAGCCGTCACTGGACTGGAAGGAACATGCAAAAAATTTAGCCAAGTCCCAGGGGTTCAGCAGATCCGAGTACAAGTTGGAGGACGACTCGTCAAGCTCTAATGAAGGTATCACAGGATATAAGTTTTATCAAAAGAGTAAAATTTTCACATTATTTATTTTTCAGAGGAAAGTATGGCTGTGGCTTTTGCTGAACAGAAAATTGAACTTGCCACCGACAAATTGAGAGGCGTTTTGCCTGCGTTGGTCACAGAGGAAGAGCTGTTGACAGGTGTAGTTGACACTGAAGTCAAGAGAGCACTTGTAAACCTTGTCAGGGGCAAAAGAGGTTCATTGAGAGATCAACTAAGGCATGAAGCAAAGGAGCAGAAGAAAAGTCAATCCCTGGAAACACTGCTTAAAGCGCAATTCTCAGCAGAGCAACAAGTAAGAACCTTGTCAATTGGAGTAATTTTTAAAGCATGGAAATTATTTAAATTTAAGGTGGACTGCTTAATCGAACAAGCGACTGATGAACACATTCTCGGAAGCACTTTCTGGGGATGGGATCCTTGGTATTAAACATATTTAAAACAAAGGGGAATGCCGGAAGATAAACTAATAGTCTAATATATATCCATTCCTTAATGTTTTCCATTGTAATTTTTAATTATGTTTTCAATAAATTTCTTAGTTTTTTAATAACATTTTTTTCAAAATAAATTTTAATAATTTTATAATTCTTTTGTTAGAGCCTCTGGTACTATCTTAAAATATTTAGTGAGTAAAATTGTATATCACCACCACCACACCCTTCAGCGAAGCATGATATAAAAGGAGAAATTGAAAATTAATTTCCATCCTGTTTTTATGCATGCGTTATTACATGCGCAAGCGCTGCGGTCAGCATAGTGGAGGGGCAAAGTGGGCAGTTTCCCGCTGTTGACGAATCGCGCTCATTTTCCACTAAAATGGCGCATCTTACAATCCTTTTTCTAATCTTCTACACGATTTTACCGATTGTTGTGCATGCTCTCAGCCGTGCTTGCGGTGGCGCTAGTGAAGCAATTTGAATTTTGTGTTGACAAAACTTGCCTTGCCAATTTCGTCCGCATTTTCCCGCTTTTCTGGTGAGTTTTGCCCAAAATTTGCAATAATTTCCTTCTTCAATAACATTCTCAAACTCTAGTCAAGGTGGAGAAGTCAAAAGGCAAAATGAGCGACACGCCGTTGGCTCCAAGTCGCTTCGAGAAGTCCCTCGGCTTGCTGACGACCAGGTTCGTGCAGCTGCTGCAGGAGGCCAAAGAAGGTGTGCTCGATCTTAAGGTGGCCGCCGACATTCTGGCCGTCCGTCAAAAACGTCGTATTTACGACATTACCAACGTGCTCGAGGGCATTGGCTTGATCGAGAAGAAGAGCAAGAACAGCATCCAATGGAAAGGTGGCGGCCCCAGTGCCAACACAGCCGAGTATGCTGAGAGTCTCATTATCATAAAAGAAGAAATGCGCCTGCTAGAGGATTATGAGAAAATCATCGACACCCATCGCCGATGGATTCAGCAGAGCATCAAGAATGTCAGCGAGGAAAAGTCAAATGTTATACAAAGCTACGTGTCTCCCAAGGATATTGCAGACATTTTTCCAGAAGGCACCTTGCTGGCTATCCATGCGCCCCCTGGCGCCACCCTGACTGTTCCTAAGGGAAGCGATAAGAGCTACAGCTTTAGCATCAAGTCTTCTGCTGGGCCTGTTCTGGTAATTAGGAAAACAAAATGCTTGAATAATATGTGATATTGAACTTTATTTTCTAGGTGTCAATTGTGGACCAGGAAAAGTCAATCGAAGAGTACAATGAACGTAACCTAAAAAGGAAGCGGGAGGAGGACGAGAAGGTTAAGATCAAAGGTCCTAGGCCCGCCAAGGGAAGGGCAACCCGCAAAAACAAGACCGAGGAGAGCGAGGTTGAGGACCTGCTGGACATAATGATGGAAAAGTCGGATGCAGACCAAGAAAACACAGATCCTCTGCTGGCTGACAATTTTGACCAGCTCTTCGAGGACTTGGTTTCCGACTGCGACAAGTGGCCTCTTCTAAGACTCAGTCCTCCAACCACAGATAGAGACTACCATTTCAGTCTTGGGGATAATGAGGGTATACGTGACCTTTTCGACATCAAGCTCTGATCACAACACCTTTTGAGTTGTGACCGAACAACACACTGAAGATCGTGGAGTTCAATTTACTGGACTAAAAACAGTTAAAAATATCGTATTTGCTAGGTTTTCCCTATTATGCACACTCTACCTAGTGTGTCCTGCCATTGCTATGTTTTTGAAATGATTTTTCCAATATACGAATGTCAGCTGATGAATAATAAAAATTATGATGGCTTTGGATAGATTAAAATTACAAGATTTCATTTAATACCATATTCAAGTAATTGAAAATTTAAGTTGTGATAAGATATGAACTTTTTTTTATTGTCTTTTAAAATCCAAACCTATTCCAAGATAGTATAAGTTCCAGGTTGAAATCAGAAGACGAAAGTGAATTTGAGGAAATTTTATTGAGAATGTAACAGGAATTATCAATGGAACGTTCAAACAGATCTTATACATTTATTTCTTAAGTTAATTTGACATTAAATTATCACTTACATCTCACTCGTTAAAATACTAATAAACACTGAGAGATCAGTATAAATTAAATAAATAAAATCCTGCAGCAATCAATAACTTAAAGAAAGTGCGTTTCTTAACTAGAATATTCAAAAAATCCTTTTAACAGCACTGTAATTATCATTTATTACACCACGACTAATTGAGTTCAGGGTCTAACAACAACTGCCGGCTTCTGGTTTGCCTTTTCTGAATCATTATGGCTTTAAAAATGCACATCGATCCTAGAGTCGAAAGGAAAATAATTAGAAGGAACATAGCATTCCAACCGAACCAGTCAGTGACAAGTCCAACCAGAGGCCCCTCAATGACCGCTCCCAAACTACCAAATCCATTAATCAGACCAGTCACGGTTGCACCACAATTCCTGCCATCAGCTTCTCCAATTGAAACAGAAACCGAGCCTCCCAAAAGAGCATCTGGCGCGCACACCCCAGCCCCAGCCGCAATCATAAAAATGGAGTTGTAGCTGAGACCCCACTGAGCGGTCAGGGTGAACAGGATAAAGGACACGATGCCTACAAAGCCGGAGAGGAGGACGGGTACAAGAGGGTGCTTCGGCCAGTACTTGTCCACAATGTAGCCCAGGATGGCACTGCCAATGACAGCGCCAACGTCGAACAGAACAGAGAAGAGCCCCGCCTGTTCTGGCAGGTAGTTGAGAGACTGCGAGAGGTAAATGGGTAGCCAGAGATACATGGAGTAGCGAACCAGTTTGAGACACATCATGGCTGTGGCCATCTCGGACACAGACGGAATGCGCCACAACTCGTACAAACTTGGATTGCTGTTGGAGCCAAGTTTCTTAGTCTTTTCCTCCTTGCCAGGAATTGTGATCCGCAGCTCCGAAGGTAGTTTCATGAAGAGCCAGGCGCAGATGGATAGGGAGAGGACCAGGAAGGAGGGCATGAAGAATACGTAACGCCAGCCGTACATTTTCTGAAGGTACACAGCCACTGCCGAGGCGATGATGCTGCCTCCAAAAGCAGATGTAGACATGAAACCAAAGACAGTGTTCAGGGCGTCATCCTGGGAAAAAGGGAGAAATTTTCTTATACATTTTTTACGATTGATAAAGTTGTCTATTAAATTTTAACCAAAATTATTTTATTTTAATTAATAATAAATTTTATTTAAAAAAAAATCAACTCACAGGAAACCAAGACGACAAACATTTGCAACAGGCAGGCCAGCAGGGAGCTTGGCCGGCACCACTGATGAACAATAGGACAAGCAACATGAAGTAACTGTCCCACGAGCTGAAGGACAAGAGACTCAGTCCTGTGATAAAGAGGCAGATGCCGACAGTCTTCCTTGGGCCTAGTTGGTCTCCAACAGGCCCGAAAATGACCTGCAAAACCGCATACGGCAGCAGCATGGCCGTGTCCATCCAGCCGAGTTGCACCTTGGACAGGTGCATGTCCTGCGCCATCAGGTGTTTGATGACGCCCAAGGGCTTTCGCATCAGGTAGGTTGATGCGTACACCACCCAGATGAGCACAAAAATGGCCACTTGCTTAATCCTCAGGGAAACCATTTCTATAAATTAGCAGAAACAAAAATCAATGACGGTTTATTTTAAAATTAAAAATACCAACTGGATTTTTTCCTACAGACGGTCGCCGTAAAAAACAGACAAAACACTAGCACTCAGGGTGTCGTTAAATTTATTTGTTTCAATTTCCAAATAGGTGTCCTGCTTGTGTTTGAAAATGGGCTCGTGATTCACAGGTTTGCCCAGCTCATCTATCTCTTCGTCCGAAACATCGTCTGTCAGATAAATGCTGAAAAAATTATTATTATAACCAGACCTTTAAAATTTCTACACAAATTTTACTCTTCTTGTTCTTGGGACAGATTCAAGCCAAAAAACGAGAGGATTTTTTTCCTAGTCGCCGCCGACTTGAGCATTTGCTGGAGGTATTGCTCCAGGCCAAGTCGTCTCTGCTCCAAAACCTTGGGCTGCGTGTTTCTCACTCGTTTCGGAGGAAATACTGGAGTCTGGTAATGGGCCCGAAGCTGTAAAAATCACACATGTAATTTTTTTCTTGAAAAAAAAATAATAAAAAATAAACCTCTCGATGGAGCGAGTGGAAGGCGCTGTATCTCTTTTCCACAGAGTACTTCTTGCCAGAGTGAAAAATGTCAACTACGTAGACGTAGTGCGGTTTTACGTGTGCGACTTCGACTAGCCGATATTGAGAAATGTACAATGTGCTCATATCATCATAAAATAGATAAAATTCCAGATCATTTCTTCCGCGCAGTTTGCATTCAAAACAATAAAGCAGCGAGTCCTGGACAGTCTGACTTGTAAGACCAGCTGCTCAATCGAGTCAACCTTTGACCTCACGTTATTAATCACGTCAAAGCAGAAAATTTAACGAGAAGAGTGAGAAAGTCTTGTTGAAGGGCGGAAGAGCAAGGTTATAAAAATGAAAACGTCACACCGCCGGTGTGTGGTCAAAATATGTTGTTTTGACAAAAGATAATAGGGGATGCGAATTACAATAACGCGCCGCCCACATACGTCATTGGCGCAAGAGACAACTTTTGAACCTTGGCGCTGTGCGAATTAAAAAAATTACGCGACCCCTGGGCCGTCCGCGAATTGCACGACGGATCCCCCTGTTTTTGTTTGCGTGCTACCCTCTCACGGCGCGGCAGCGCAAAACTGTCCCTCGCCAACGATAACTTCCTTGGTCAAGAATGATCGCCGCCATTTTGTAATGTATTATGTTTATATCCGTTTTGAGTGAGCAGGGAGATGGTGCATAGTGTCGAAGGTAAACATTTGCATGATGCGCTAATTGCAGCTTAATTTATGGCCGCTGATTCATGTGCACTCGATCTGTCCGACCGGCCGCCGACGATCAAGCGTGTCGAGAATTCGGCTTCGCCTGTCGACCGAGATGAATGCGTTGTAATTGCATCGATAATCGAACAACTAATTATGTATGCACGCACAGGCGTCTATTTGCGGTTCTCGCGATTTATCTCGCCTTATACCACTCGACGGACGTGCTAAAAATAACGTCAACACGATATTCGTCTCGATTCACACGCAAATTCGGCGGCACGCGTTTTTTTAAGTCAAAAACCCGCTTTGTTGATACAATTTCGCACCTCCATCGTAGACAAAGACATCTTGGTTTGACCACTTTGACCCCCGTAATCTTTTCTTCGTCATTAAAATTTATCTCGGCCAAGATAGATTTTTCAAACTAATATTCAAATTTAATTTTTCCAGCATAATTTGCTAGACGCGGATTCAATAATGGTTGTTGTGCCAACCTTCGGGTTAAAACTACACGCCGAATCATCAAATTACTGAACGTAAGTGTTTGCAAATAATATTTGTTTCTATTTGATCTGATTTTGGAAATCTGCAGGATCTACGGTGAATGTCTAATTGAAATCAGCATGTCCCAGCAGACGGACAAAGGTTCGATTGCATTGTCGCCTGTTTTCCAGAAGCTTAGCTCTCCAACATCGCCAAAGAGCAAAAAGGTCAGTTTTCAATACAAAATTAATTTGATAAAATCTCAAAACTTGCATGACTAAATTTCAGTTCTTGGTGCCTGGTCTGGAGGGGGACAGGCCTGGAGTTGATGGTCATCCAATAATTGGCCAGTGTGGCAATACGGACTGGTCAAAACTATTCCTACATCCAACTGAAGACACCGAGCCAGATGAGCAGCCATCGACAGTTGACATGTCTGCTTTTAAGGTTTGGTTTTTAAAAATGGAACAATTAAAAGAAAAGTAAATAAAATTTTTATTAAACAGGGCTCCCCATCTACTACAAAAGTTCCTTACACTTTGAGTGAACCCTGGAATTCCAATGGTGGAGATAGAGATGGAAATGAAAGCGATAGCGGCGAGCAAAGTGATAACGAGTCATCTGGGAGCAGTTCTGACTGTGGAGACGACAGCGGATCCATTGCAGATGTAAATTTAACCAGTCAATTATTGCCATAGAACTTTCCTTAATATAATACATATATTTAGGGATCGGCAAGCAGTTCGAGTTCATCAGACGACGGTGAATCTTCTGACAGAGACGATGACAGTGATGTTTGTGACACCAAAAGTAATTGTTCGTCATCTTCCGGCTCTGATTCGTCGTACACAACTTGCAGCAGACCAGCCTCTCCTGTTGATCCGCCACAACAGGTGTTCTCCATCCGAGAAACCAATTTTGAGCAGGTTAGGGCATTTTTTTGCTTTGTTTATCAAGGGTTTAAATCGGATTAAAATATTTAAAAGATAACAAAATATAAGACCATTAAACAAATTGTTGGGTTCGTTGCACACAAATTTTAAACAGTTTACTGAAGTTCACTCTTATTCAAGTATGATTAAAAATCCAATTTGTAAATAAGCTTGTGTAAATAAATGTAAGCATATTATTTAATTTCTTAGTCAAAACTGGATGTTTAGCAAAATGAAAACTATTATTTCATAACTCGATTTTTATTCATTAAAATATTTTTTATTTGTTGCAGGGCGGCTTAAAGTTGAAAATCTCAACTACCTCGGCTCGTCAGGGCGAGCAGAAGGGCTCTGCATTGAAAGAGCCACAGAAAAGTGCTCCAACAAAAGAGCCATCGCCACCTGCACAAGCGACGCAGGCCAAAAGTGATAACAATCAAGCAGCTACTCAGGAAAAGAAGCAGGTGATCCCGAACCCCAGGATATCTCGACTCAGGCCACGCAAGAAGGAAGAAACTAAGGTAGGATATTTTGAATTAATTCTCTGATATCTCTTCACAAATTATTTATCATGGTTTTTATTTTTTATTATAAAACCATTAAAATATTAAATAGATTTCAATTAAAATTTTTAGCTGAAAATTAAGTTTCCATTTTTATTATCGTGGAATTTTTTTTTTTTTTTAGAATTCAAGATAATTACGGATAGTTAAAAAAAAAATTGAATTCTAATATTTGTAATACAAGAATGGTTGAGATTTGCAAAGTCATGTACCACAAGTATGAGCGCTTGCGAATGGGGGGAAATTATGCAAATTTAATGGCGAGGTTCGTCAGACAGGTCTGGAGCGCCTCTTCAAAGCTTTTTGGCGCTACATTTTCTTGATCAAATATTATCGTGGCTCACGTACGACGCTGCTTGGCGGCAGCTGAAAATCGACACAGCAGCCGGTTATATACCCACGCAGTTGAGTGGAAGGGAGCGAGCCAGCGAGCCAAAATAAAAAGTAAAAAAATAAAGACAAGAAACGCTGCCTCCATGTGCTCCTCGGCGTGACCTTCAAAAGATCCTGAGAATGAAGAGTGAGTGCTGCTCATGCATGGCATGGCAGCGTCGTCTCTCTCACCATCCGAGGTGTAAATTCCCACTCCTGTCATGCAAAATTAGTCTGCGGCAACGCGAGGTGGTGAGCGCGCGCGCTGCGAAATGACGCTCCTCGTCACTCAGAAACACGCGTGAATTTGTTTATTTTTATTTTCACTCGAGACAAAAAAAAATGATTGGCGAACTGACGCGCGGGACGCCGACGTCCAACAGCCTGCAGGGCCCCGAGCTGCTGCTCCTCGCCCTCCAGAACAACAACCTGGCAAGCAAGGAGGGTGCGGACGGCGGTTCGGACGTAGCCTGGGACTGGGAGCTGGTTAGCCACCTGCTCAGGGCCTGTCAACAGGTAATTTTATTTTTGCACGGCCGCGATGCCGTTCGTCCGCGAATCTCAGCGCTCAAGGTTATCGAATCGCGTCGCCAAGGCAGCACACAAAATTTAATACACAAATGTTTGAATAATTTTTTTTACCTTTATCTATTTAATTTTCTTCTTCCATTAGAAAATAGATATAACAATTTGTTTTTGACAAGTAAAACTTTTTGGCGAATTTTCATAATAAACAATTTTTGTTATTGTTGATTTTTTTTTCATACCATTACATTTAACTTGCAAATCTAAAAGTAAAGCAAAAATCGTTTACATTTAATTGCTTCAAAAATATCAAAATGTACTTGTAAAAGCTCAATTTGTTAATAAGTTATTTGCATAATATAAAATTTTTACAGCCGTGTGATTAATTTATTATTTGAACTATTTGTTTTGAATGTCAGGGGAGTGTTTCCTTTCTTGGATTAATATTTGTTTGTGTGTTTAATGTAAATTTAAAACAAATAATTATTTCTTTATATTTCATAAAAAATTAAAATATGTGTATTTATGATTCCTCTTATTTCCATTTTCATTATATATTAAATTAAATTTTTCATGTAATTACGATTCGTGCCTGCAAATTGATCGAGATTGATAGACACACTTGACGCTGATTGAATCTCAAGTGATTTTTTCGTCGTCCGACTTGTTCTACAGCTCGGCGTGTTCGTGTCTCGTTTTATTTATTCCATTTTAATTAGTGCCGCGGGCAACACAGGCCGCGGCCGTTTAATTTTCTCTCTTGGGCAATTGCGCGACTAAATTGACAGAGAGTTTTGCTCCGCAGACGCGCGGCGTAATAATCACGATTTATATAAAATAATGCAAAGTGTCTATATGGTCGTTGCACCGGCCGGCGAATCGGTTTCACTGCAGCAGACGAAGATCGCTTTCACTCTCGGACCTCGTCGGCCGGAGTAAAAACGTAAAATGTGACTCATTTTATTCCGATCGAGATTATTTCTCACATAACAATGGAGGAAAATTCCGATCTGACCGGCAGATAGGGCGTTTTCAGTAATTAGCCGTGTGAGAAACGGACTGCGTGAGTGGTGTCGCTTTTCGGGCTTTATTATTGTGGCGGGCAAAGCCAACAACAATAATAGGCGACTCGACCTTGAAATGCGCGTTTGTCGATTTGGCAAGTGCAAATTTACGGAAGCCGCTCAAGGTGACGCCGGCCGGCCTCTCGTTTTTCGTATTCTGCAAACGCTTAATTCGCCGCCTGACTTTTTATTATTTTCATTCGGCGTTTAATATCGCGCGCGAGAAGGTTGTCCGTGAGTTACGCGTCTGCCGCCGGACGAGGCAGACACTGACAGAGGTCGCCGTGCCCTTCCCGGTGCGGAAAGTGAGAGCACCTTCGAATAAAAACGGGGTCAAGAGCAAGCGACTAACCAGTCTCTGTGTCGCTCAATGGGGCGAGTTGTTGATTTTGTCTGTCCAAATAAACGATTTAACGACTAAATCCAGCTGATTAAATAAGCCGATTACACGGTCAAACAAATCTTCCTAATCTTTCACTGCCCACTGTATTTTATTTGCATGAGTATTTATTTATTTTTACAAGCTCTTAATCTTTTTTTAGCAATCAAATTTTTTCCAAATAACAACTGAAAAAAATGAAAATCACAAGGCAATTTTCTTATTTTGTTAAAAAAATAGAAGAATACAAACTTTTGCAAAAATTTATTTTTAAAGTATTCATACAAAAATACATTGTATTTGAAAATTTTCAATGATAAAATGATTCAATTCATGGAGTTTGGTGTAATTTTTGTTTATAGGGTGTGTCAGCTAGCACCTCACAAACGCAGCAGCAATCTCAGAGGCCAGTTGGAAAGAGGGGACAAGAGCCAGTGTCCCAGGCATCCTCGTCTTCAGCACGCTCCTCGCAACCGGAGGCAGCAATATCTCAGCTGGCACACGAGCTCTCTGGCGATGCCCTTCAGGTAGAAATCTCAATTCTGTTCATTAATATAATAATTTGTATATTATTTACCTAATAATTCCTATTTAAAATTTTTTAATTAAAATTTCAACCATTAGTTCATATCAGGGTTTCATGGGAAATATTTTTAATTTATAGGAGATTAATCAAGAAGACTTAGCTGCTATTCTACCGGACGTCTCTGCGTCTGAAGGGCCAAATGAAGACGTGGCTGGGCCACCTTTTGGCTTCGAAGATGTGTCAAGCCTGGCCGCAAAGTCAGCAGAGATCAGTGCTGTGCAAAATTCTGTTGCTCACGATTCGTCAGACAGCGAGTCTAGTAGCGAAGACAACGAGCTTCTGCCCGAGACTGTAGTCAGTGCAGCTATCCAGAGGATAGACGTTGACGACGACAGTACCTGTGAGTTCTTAGTTCATGCGATATCCGGCAAAAACATTACCTAATTTTTTATTTTTGTCATTTTTTAGCTTGCACAGATGGCGGTCGTAGAAGTCGCGTCAGGGCTGACAGCTACTCAAGTGATGACGAAGATGAAGGCAGTGACGTCGACACCAAGAGTCCTCACACTGGTGCTCGCATGTACTCGTCACGCCTCCTGCAGCAATTCGAGCAGAATCTTTTGTCCCAAAGTGACAAGAAGGAAAACAATAGTGCAACATCAACCAAGGCAAAATCGGAACAGGTTGAATCAACTTCCTCCAAACAGAAACGGTCCAAAGGCAAGAAGGAGGGAGCTGCCGAAGACACAAAGAATTCGGTCGAGATGGATCCGTACATCCCCCTGGACTGCTGTGAATCTAATGTTTCTCCAGACAGCGGCATTCAGTCAGTTGCTGGCTCTCCAGTGCACCAGTCATGCTCGCCAGCCTCCAATCAGGCCCACGCGTCACCCAACCACCCTTCATCTCAACCCAACTACCTCCCTCCTGTGAAAGAATTGTCTCCTCCGTGTGAGGCAAAGAAAAGGCCAGGGAGGCCGTCAAAAGCTGAGAAGAAGACCAGAGGTCGGCCAAAGAAGTCCGTCAGTGAGTCGGCACCAACAATCAAAGCCAGTACAGACGTCGAGTCGCCAAATGGTCAAGCCCGCCGAGGACCAGGTCGACCCAAAAAGACTGAAGATGGAGGGTTGGCTTCGAAAAAGCAACAGGTTGCGCCGACAACCAAAGCAAAGACCGACTCGCCAGAAGTGCTGTCACAGAAGCGTGTGGCCAAAGTGAGTGAGAGCAAAGTAAGGACGGTGAAGAAGTCGAGTGACAAGAAGACTGATGAGAAGTTGGAAAAGTGCGGGAAAGATAACATACCCAGGAAGAGGAGGTGGAGACAGAAAAATGTGAAGGCGCTTACGATTCCGTTCGCCATCGAAGGTGCTCTTCCTGAAACTCTGCCTCTGTCACTGACGTTCAAGAAAAGATCAAAGAGCGGCAGGAAGCACAAGAAACTTCAGTCTTTGAAAAGCAAGCGCAGTAAACACGGACACAAAGCTGGTAGAGGTGGAGACCAACCAAAGAAGAACAGTCTCAACAAGACCAAAAAGAACATTGCATTTAAGAGAAAAAAGAATGTTCGTGGCACCGAGACCAAACGGGAGGACCCAAGCTACCTTACACAGCTGGGGGAACTTGTTTTGTCCCTAGCAAAGTGTACTATATCAAAGTAAATAAATTTTTCGAAAAAAAATTTTCCATGTTAAATTTTTTGTATTATTTTCAGGAATTTGGTGTTGCCAGCCCCTGGAGAAAACAGACTTCCTTCGATATTTCGAGTAAAGAAATTGGTGAAGAAAAGAAAGGTTGTTGAAAAGAAGGAGAAGATCAGCGACAAGGATTCTGAAAATGAAGTACCTCCGCCAAAGTCGCCACATTCGACAACAAAGGAAAAGGTGAAGAGGAAGGCAAAGAAAAGTGCTGTTGAGATACCAAAGGTCAGTCTTTTAATAAATTTTAATTGAGTGGTTTGCTAATTAATGTACACATTACAGAGAGCGGAGCCCAATGAGCAGAGGCTTCCTTTGAAGAAGCGTCACTATCACCTGCCTAGTCAAGTGCCAAACGTAGATTCAACGCAAGAGCCAACCACTTCACCAACAAGCAACGCAAAGACTTGTCAGGCCGCCTCTCAAACTGTGTTAACAAAAGTAGAGAAAACTTCATCAAATTCAAAGACCAGCAGGAACTCTATTGATGATGCAATTGAGTCTTGTATATCAAGGTACAAACCTTCGGCCACAAATGACGAGGAACTTGACACACCCTTGAGTGAAATGAAGAAAAAGAGTAAAGTGGAGGTACCTGCAAAAAAGGTGCCTACAACCACCCCAGTGGCGCTCTTGTCAAAAAGAGCTGCTGCTCTAAAAGCCACAAATCAAATCACAGCCACCATCACAAACACACCTAACGCAGAAGAGAAGGAAAAGCCTGTTGATGTAACAGTAGTAAAAAGTGAGAAGGAAGACGTTGATATGGATGATGTGCCACTGAAAGACTTAATCAATAAGACCAAGACTAAGAAACTTTCAGTTGGAACTCCGAAAGTGGCACTGACAAAACTACTGGACCAGGATCTGCTGCTGAAAAAGGCGGTAAATGCTGTGAAAAAGAAGGCTAAAAGGAGAAAGGCAATCAACAGGACAGGCTTTCCTGTTAAAAAGAAAAAGAAGCCAAAGAAACAGCTAGATGAGAAACCTGATCTTCCGAAACCAATTGTCGAAATTAAGAAAGAACAGCCAGCCCCAGAAGCCACAAAAGAAACAAAAGCTAAGCAGGCCGATCAACAGACTTCCAAGAAAACTTCAAACAAACGAAAAGTATCAGTTTGTGTGACTGAAAACATTCCCCTCAGCCAGCGGGCGGCCAAACGCCAGAAAATCTCTTTGTCAAAGGACGACGACAATGCTGATGTTGTTGCCGATTCTGAATTGCAAGATCCGGAAGGCAAGGGAAAGCCGCAGCCGCGCTGGAGGAAAAAGTACCTGACGGCAGGTCTCTTCTCTAACTTTTTCAAAGAAGATGAGCCAAGGAAGACAACACCTGCAGAGCTATCGAAAGCCCGAAACGGGGTGTACAAGAAGGAGGAACACAAGTACGGACTTCTTCCCCCTCCGTTTGACAGTGAAAAGTTTGTCCGCCAACGGAGGGTGGACTTTGAGTTGCCGTATGACTTGTGGTGGCAACATGAACACAACAAACTGCCTGGAAGGGCTTCTGAGGTGCCGTCGTGGAATTACAAGAAGATCCGCACTAACATCTACTATGACATGAAAGTGCCCCACATGTATGAGGCGCATCAGGCGTGCAACTGCAAGGCACCAGAGAAGCCGGAAGAGGTTGGATGTGGTGACGATTGCATCAACAAGCTTGTCTACTCCGAGTGCATCGCCAGATTGTGTCCTTGCAAAGAGAAGTGCTCCAACCAAAAGATTCAGAAGCACGAGTGGGCCCCTGGAGTTGAGAAATTCATGACCAAGGAGAAAGGTGAGTTTTTTTTTCAAATTCTTTTAAAATCTGCAGCCTTAAAATATTTTCTAATGAATCTCTAAACATAAACAAAATGCTATTGTTTCAGGTTGGGGTGTGCGAACTAAGAAGACAATCAAGAACGGCGATTTCATTATGGAGTATGTGGGTGAGGTGGTGAGCGAAAAGGAGTTCAAGAACCGCATGGAGACCCGATATGCCAATGACACGCACCACTATTGCCTGCACCTTGACGGTGGACTGGTGATTGATGGCCATCGAATGGGTGGCGAGTGTCGTTTTGTAAATCACTCATGTGAGCCAAACTGTGAGATGCAGAAATGGTCTGTGAACGGCCTGTTCAGGATGGCCCTGTTTGCTTTGCGAGACATTGAGGCTGGCGAAGAGCTCGGGTACGACTATAACTTCTCACTTTTCAACGCTGCAGAAGGCCAGCCCTGCAAGTGCGGCAGTGAAAACTGCCGAGGGGTGATTGGAGGCAAGTACCAGAGGGTGAATCCCCTCCTGGGTGACCGCAAGTGTCGGCTGAAGAAGGACTCGCGGAAGAACAAACGCAAGCTGCGAAGAAATGGCAAACTGAATGACACGCAAATCCGCAACCAGTTGTTCGCCCCGATGAAGCCCATGTCACACCAGCAGCGTTGTTTTGCGCAGGAGCACCACTGCTTCCTGCTGAGGAATCTTGAAAAGCTGAAGCGTTTCCGGGAGAAGCTGAAAAAGCACGCCACCGAGCAGCAGGAGGCGTCAAACGCTGTCAACAGAGCCACTCCCGCCTCCAGCAAGGCTGACGTTTTTCTTGCCCAGCTTAACGCTCTCTCAACACCGCGCTCTGTCCGCACAAGACGACTCGCCCAGGCCGAGGACAACCCTGAGCTGAACAAGGTTGCCAGACTGGCCTACACATTCAAGGACCTCTACATGGTGGTGACCACTGCCAAGGATGAAGTTGGTGAGCTGCTCTGTCAGCCCTTTTTGACTTTGCCCTCTAAGAAAAAGGCGCCTCTCTACTTTGAGAGGGTGCAGGAGCCCATTGACCTGACCATGATTGAAAAGAACATCACTAGTGGGACGTACACGACCGTCGAGGCTTTCGACCAGGACTTTGGCCGCCTCTTCACCAATAACATTGTGTTCCACGGCAGGACGTCCAAACTGGGCATCATGGCCGCTAGACTGAGAAAATCTTATAACGGCGCAAAACAGTCAATTCTGTCACAGCTTGAGGATATTCTCGGGGAGATGCCACCTACCTCGTTCTACTCAGAGAAAAAGAATACTCCTGGTGAGTAATTTTACTTCAGTTACTTTATTTCAGGAAATAACCTATCCAAATTTGTGTTGTAGGAAACAAACTGCAAGCTGGTGCCAAGAAAGTAGTTGTTGACGGTGAAGAAGATGTGATCCGCTGCATTTGCGGCCTGTTCATGGACGAGGGTCTCATGATCCAGTGTGAACGGTGCCTTGTCTGGCAGCACGGCGACTGCGTCAAGGCTGACAGCTCGGTCGAGCACTATCTATGCGAGCAGTGCAGTCCAAGGCCTGTCACCAGAGACATTTTAATGCACCCCATCCCCGAGTATGCTGAAGACGGTCAAACGTATTTCATCTCTTTGATGAGGGAGGAGTTGCAACTTAGAATTGGTTAGTTATACGGATAGAAGCATAGCAGGTTCTCTAATACTTGGAAAACGTTTTGCAGGTGATACAGTTTATGTTTTGAGGGACATTGACCGTGACGACATCACTGACCCGTCTATGCCGCCTCAAAAGCACACATACAAAACTCTGAAAAATGCCATGCCTGAGGACTGTGACATTTTCAGGATTGAGAGACTTTTCATTGAAGAGTAAGCTGATTTTTTTATTAGACAAAAAAAAATTCAGAAAAATATTTATTGTTTTGAATGTATTTATTACATATTTTTTATGTTTAAATTGCTTAAGTTTGAATCAAATCTTAAAAAGGAAAAATTACAGATTCGTTTGTTGTCTTGGCCTAAAGCACTTAAAAATTCTGAATCAATTCTATTTTGGTTTTCTAGTGGAAAAAGGTTTGCATTTGGACATCACTACCTGCGTCCGCATGAAACCTTCCATGAACCGTCGCGCCGCTTCTTCCCGAATGAGGTGATGAGAGTCCCTCTGTATGAGAAGGTGTCCTTTGACCTCATCTTGGACCAGTGCTGGGTGCTGGACTTGGCCACCTACTGCAAAGGTCGGCCCATCGGTGCCAAGGAGGAGCACGTCTACATCTGCGAGTTCCGAGTTGACAAAACTGCCCACCTGTTTGCCAAACTGCCTGCCAAAACTGCCAAACAAAGCGTTTGCCACATTTCCATGAAGTCTTATGCGTTTGAGTCGTTCGAGGCCAAACTCAAACCAGTCAGATCCTACACGGTAATGCTAAACCAAAAATATTCTTCAATAACTAATTCTATGTTTATAAACAGCCTCATCCAACTGACAGTGCAGCCCCGAGATCCAAAAGCAAGGGTCGCGATGAGGACGGTGGTAGCAGGGCAGATCATCCAAAGCCTAGTCAGAGAAGGATTTCGACGCAAATAACTACAATCAAAGTCTCTCCTGCTGTGAAGGTTAGTGTCCTTCACAAAGCACAATTCTCAATACTTAAGACAAATTGAATTTTTTTAATTAGTATTATTTCTGACCACATAACTCTTGATTAAAACAAACATTTAATTTACAAAATTTTATTTTCAGAGAGCTAACCAGATTGATCGACTGAATGGAGTGCTTTTGAAGCTGTTGGACAAGCAGCAGTGCAAGCAGCCCCTGGACGTGTCCTATTTGCTGGAACAGAGCAAGAGGCAGCGCAAAAAACCGACACCCTTGCAGAGTTCTTGAGGAAGACGGAAGCGGGTCTGTGGCTGCTGTGAGGGACAACCGTTCACTTACTTGGCCACGACCAGCAGCTCCGTCACCGCCTCTACCAGCCGTCCTTCCACCCGACGCAGGAGCAGAAAAAACTTTAAACCGGTTAAGTCGAGTGTTTCTTCGGAAGCCCTCAAGTGTAAATTTTGAGACAACACGCTGTGATATTTCAATCGGAAGGAACCCCCCCTCGCAATGAAGAAGAAGATGAAGAAATAAGCAAGTTTGGCCGTTTCCTCTCTTTCATGCTAATGATAATTAACTAATCTATTGTTTTGACTAAGACGAAATCCACAAATCAATTGCAGCATTACTCTGGAATCACAAAAGCCCTTTGGCAGCATTTCTTAAACAAGTACCTTCTGGCAGCAACTAATTCCCACTTGTGCTGTATCTCTAATGCAAGTTTGTTAATTTTAAACGTTGAATGATTGTTCCTGACTACTACTTGCCTTCGGAGGAAGGTGGATTTCGCTGCCAAATTTTGAGTTCGAAAAGATGAAATTTGCCGGCCATTACACTGTGGCAATGTTGTCAATAATTTGACTTTTTGGTGAACCAGTACAAAGTAAAATGGAAAAATTAAGAAAGTGGTTGAGTCATTTTCGAAGCTAAAATTCCAGGAAATTATATTTTTATGCTAGTCACTAATGGATGGTGAATATTTTTCATGCAGTTAAATAGCCGGCACATGTAGTTGTTGGAGGCGCAGAGCAAGTAGGGAAATTTTAATCTCATAATTAAAATTCATTGCAAGGCTGAGGAATTAAACTAGCATATATTTAAAGAAGTCATTTGGCATTTTTACAAGTAAGAGGAAGAGTTGATTGATTAAACGGAGTTGATATTTGGTCGAGGTAATATGTAAATAAAAGAAATAAGTGAGCAAGAACAGTATTTAATACACAATTTAAAGTTGTTTGTCCGACTAGCAGCGAACTTTAATTAATTTACCTCGTCGTAGCTTCTTGGTCAGGGGAGCGGCCTCCCCTACTTAATTAATTTGTTCTCCTATAAAGAATTCACGTCTTTGTTATAATTATTGTTTTGGTTCAAACCAAGTGAATTATAAACTCACGCTTGTTTTCTAATGTTAAGAACCCCGGACTATTTAATTTAAAACCGAAAATTGAACTCCAGCTGTTATTATTAATTCCTAGGCGGCTTCTCTCTGTCCGGCAGCGCCGTTTCTTTTGCTTATGATCTTTCAGTAGCTAATCTCAGTCAGACGATAGCAACCGTTCCATGTTATCCGTAGTCTGTCTCTTTGTGAGTGAACTTTTTTTCTTGAATCGTAGTTGCGCACGCAGATTGATATGAAATTAATGTTGATTTTCGTCTTGTGCACGTCCAAGCTCAATTCGTTAATTATTGCAGTACAATTATTTAAGGTAATTATCTCTTTGCGTTGGCTTTATGACAAATTTTTAAAACCGCTCCACCTCTGTCCGTCGATTCTTACTTTGGTTTTCGCACACACACTCTCTCCTTGAGCTCAATGAGCTTGATTATTTGTTTTTAACATGAGCACCAGAATGATTGATTTTAACATGACTTAGGTGGATGTTTTGAGACTTTGTCTGTGCCATTCGGTTTCTGTTTTTAAAACAAGCAAACAGCGTGCTTTGGAGCATTGATCTGTTTTTATATTGAATTGCCAAATTCGAACTTTTGTCAGACTTTTAATTTGTACATCACTAACTTTGTAACCTTTAATAAAATTATCGCTCAAAAATTATGTTGTTCTTTCAGTGTCAAAACCAAAACTCCAATTATTGAAAATCTTACTTGAAATTATATTTAAAATTTCAGCAAATTCATTTATGTTTTAATTTCTTCCTTGTCATTGTTTGTTATACAAAAAATATCTAATAGTAATTACATACCGGCAATTTTTTTTCAATACTTTTATGGCATAATTATTTACTAACAAATTCTTTTATAAATTTTATGATATTGTCGATTAAGTAAAGCCTTGAATAGACAAAATTTACTACATATTTGTTCCGGAGTTATCACTTTTTTTACATTGTGGTATTTTTAGCTTTGCTTTTTTAAAAGAAACCTCTCCAAAGAGACTAATAAATTGATCAGGGCCACTAAATTACCAGAATAGGAAATTTCATTTTTTAATAAAATTTCAATAAATATTTTCCACTTTCTTATCTTTCAATTTTTTTTTTTAAATAATTTGCAAATATTTTTTGTGCCCTAAATTTTGTCGATAAATTTTCAGGCAAGAACAATTTTTTCCTGCGATTTTTGTTATTATTAACATTTATGGATTTATGTATAAAAATGAGGATTTACCATTTATTGTTTATTTTTACAAACCATTTATTTTTGAGAAAATTACATCAATTTTAAAATATTTTGTACTGATGGACCGTCTTACAACTCTGATACAATTGATTCCAGCAATGAAATAATTTTCTTCCTAGTATTTGAGCATTTCTTTTATCCCGTGCCAATTCTTGGCTGGATCACATTAACACCTTCAACGTTCTTCGCTATCCAATCAAGGTACATCACCACATCACTGTAGACGGTGTAGTACTTTGGGTTGCACAGGGTCCAATCCCTCTCGAGAGGCACCCCAATGCTCACTATCCCTCTCAGGTACCATCGACCGTTTCTCTCGAAGACCATTCCTCCTCCACTGTCTCCATTACAAGCACTTGTACCTAAAATCAGTTAGTTTTTAAATTAACTATTTTTAAAATTTGATATATTATACCATTTGTGTATCCAGCACAATAAGTGTTGTTCTTTTCCAGGATTATGGTAAAGAATTCTGGCCTGCTTCGAACACACGCTTCATATGAATGCACAGGAAAAGTGGCTTTTTGAAGGATATTATTTGTTTCGGTTGGTTTTGTCACATCCATGATTCCCCAACCAGGAACCTGCCAAAAAAATATTAAAATAAATTTTTTTTTCAAATTGCAAGAAAAAAACAGACCGTTCCAAAAGCTCCTACAAGTTTTTTAGGATCCCCGTCTGTGTTCCAGAGACACACGGGCGATACTTTATTTGTGAGAATAACGTCTCGAGCAAAGATTATGATAGCCATGTCGTTGGACACGTTGTCTTGGCTGTAATTTGGATGAAGGAGGATGCGATGCGGCTGAAGCAGAAAATCAAATCAAACATTACAAATTTATATACATTACATTCCTATCTCTTTTGCAAATAGTTGCATATTTTATTTACACACCAGGACAACTTTATACCCAGGTTACGGAACATGTACTTTCCATATAGCACAAAAAAAAGACAAAAAGAAAAATACAAAAGAGCAATAAACTCTAAATTGCGTGAAAATAAAATTAATCTTAATAACTTCTTCATTTAAGCTTGATTTTTTCCCTTAACTTTTCAAGGAACTTGCTCGTGGCTCTCTCGCTTAGTCATAATGTACAAGATAAAACTTTTTCCAACAAAAAGGTTGAAATTAAGCAGATTCCCTGACGTTATTCTTAACAAAAAAAAAAAAAAAAAAAATAGTTTTTAAATATTTTTTTAATTAACTTTATGAAGACCATTGGAGCTTAGAAAATCCCTATGTTCACATCGCCAGAAAAATTTTGAATTTTCACATAAAAAAATTTTAAAAAATCTTAGTGAAATAATTACCGTTTGAATAAATTCAGTATTTTTGGAAACAAAAAGCGCCTCCTGCACTGCTTATCAGTGCATTTTGCAATCGCGCCCTTTTTGTGCTGCGAAAGTGGAGGGAAAATGAGAGGGCGGAGTTAGCAATTGTTTACGAACTTACGAAGTGACGAGTGTGACGACAAAATGTGATGGACTGACTTGGACTTTTTGATTTTTGAGTTTGTTGTGAATAATGCTGCGTGATACAAGTGTCAGTTGCAAAATCGGTCCCAATATGAGGCGAGGAGGTCATGAAGGTGTTATTTTTCGAAAAATCACAGCAAATTCCCATCCCGATTCGGCTACAAGCGGCGGCCGGCCTCTTTTCAAGAATTTCGTCATTTTGATCATATGCAGCCGTGAGAGCAGGACGATCAGGTAAGTTCCTGTTTCTAATTTATTTCGATTTTGCTCCTTACCGCTGCGATAAAATTTACCCCGCCCGAAAGAAAATAAATTGATAGGATTCCTTCTCAGTGCTATTGTTGTAAATTAACGAGGAGCTCGTGATATCTACACGGATGAAAATATTCACTGAACCCTGAACCGTTTTTTTTATGTAAGATTTAAAGCAGATTTTTACCAATTTTTACCATGATCTTTAACTTGATTAGGGAGATATGTATGAACGTAATTTGGTGGATTTTTTTTTTTATCAATTTTTAGATAAAAATTAATATAGAAACCAATGTTAATTTAAAACAACCCAGTTCACTTATTGAATTCAATAATTATTTGATGTCCCATTGAAACGCTAATGTGTAGAGAATAAATATCATCAAAATTTATTCCCTAGAAGCCCCTCCTTAAAATAATAATGCTTTTGTAACATAAAAATTTCAAAATTATATACATACTTATCTAATTATACATATTTGTATATAAATTATTTATGTATTATTTCAACTCACTGTGTAGGATTGAACGCCTCGATCCAAATTCCATCCTTCATTCTTGTAGTACTTGCCGAGATAAACGGTTATGTCGTCCTCTGCCCTCTTTGTGCCACTTTTCCTCGTCACGCAGTGTCCGGCTGCAATTAATTTATATTAATTGCGTGATTACAAATTCAATCAATGATTAGTTTTAATTAATTTGTGAAATTTTAACCTGTGATAACCGCCTTTTTCGAAATGAGACTCCCGCCGCACGCGTATTTGGGCAGCTGGAAACTTTCGAAGCGCGTGAAAATCGCGGCGTGCCACGGGAATTCCCCATCAAACGTTGGCTCCGCGCTCGTGATCAAAGCCGCGGGCCTCATGGCTCGCACACCGCAATTCGCAAAGCTCAGAACCTCATTTTGGCCTTGAATCATTGGTATCAAAGTGATGAAACAAAATAGAAAATTATTGTCTCATAACATTGCATAATGAATAATTTAATTTCATTGTATATCATAGAGAATAATTTAATATAAAAGCTAATTAATTTTGTTAAAATATAAAAAATTGATCAACTTATCTGTTTTCCGGTGTAAAAATTTTATTTCATCTAATTCTGCTGATTATATAATATAATATTGTTTGGAATTATTTTCAATTAAAATAAACCGCTTTCTCAGAAAATAAAAATTTATAGAACATGCCGAATTGCATAAAAAAACTAATTTTCTTCCGATATTTTGTTATTACTGTGTTCAAATTTGATTTGATTGTTTTTTATAATTAATTTCTCACTCTGTGTTGATATTCTTTGCGTCGAGGATGTTGGTCTGGATGTAGTTGAGGATGTTGGTCTGGATGTAGTCGAGGTGGAAGCAGCGACACCCCCGTACCTTGTGGGTCTGGTGGCCGGAGTACGATTGGTGGTGGTGAGGAAGGGTCGAGTCGGTGGTCGGGTCGGTGGCCGGGTCGGTGGCCTCGGCGGATGGCCGGTCGTGTATTCATTTAAGTAAAAGTTGCCCTCGTATTGGCTTCGGTTTTGCTGTTGGGCGACGCAAGCACAAGTGGCCAGGCAGAAGAACAGTAGCGCCGTCGGAAACAAGTCGAGCTTAACCTGAAATTTGCCAAAAAATTTATTAATTTATTCACGATTGTTATTATTTTTCTATTTTAATAATTCTTTATTTTTATTGTTATTGATCCAGAAATGTTAAATATAAGCGGTTTATATAAATTTAACTTTCTAAAAGAAATTAAATTTGCACTTTTTAATCTTGCAACCAATTAAATTTTTTGTACGTTTTAAAAATAAACGTTATAGCAAAAATTAATTTAATTTAATTAATTTAATTCTTCATAAGTCCATTGCTGGATATTTCAATGCGATTTTCATTGTTATTCAGTTCTAAAATTATCAAATATTTTTAAATAAATTTATTTTAATTTTTCAATGTCTCTGGACAAGAAACTTTATCGCAGCCAAGGCAAGAAGCTAAATTAAAAATGGTTTTCCCTTTAACAAATTTTATTTGCAAATTCACAGGCTCCGTACACCGTTTTTCGCAAGGTTGTGAATTCAAAAGGGCTCGTTTTTTTATAAATTTAAATATTGCAGGGGAAAACCACAACATAAATTACTGTAGTGAAAATTACACAACGTGCTTTTATAAAATGCTAATAACGAGAAAGATCACACGACCTTCAACTTTGAACCTCAAAGAGTCGTTATCGAGTTTCTCACAGCGAGATCAACGGGAATCACATTCTATTAATAATAACACAGCTCAGAGATAAATTATTATATTCGTTAAATGTAGTTTTGTATTATATGTATTATATTAATTTTTGCAACTTTTCTTATTTAAAATTTAAGGTTGTCCAATCAACAACTTCAAAGTTGAAAATTTTTTTTAAATTCTTACTAACTGAGAAACTTTGAAATACAAGGAATTAATTTGATTAATTCTTTTTTTTTTCATAAATATCCGAGAATATATTTCTTTAATTTTCTCCTTTATAAATTTCCGAGAAGAATATATTTCTTTATTTTTCTCCTTCTCGTCAGTTTAAAGAATATTGTTCTGGTCTCTGTACAGTATCTTTTTCTTTAAATTATATAATTACCTGTAACTAAATTTAATTGCACCGTAATTATACAGACATATTTTTCTAGACGGAGAACACAGAATTGAGATGAACGGAAAGCGAAGCATTACAAGAAAACCGGTTTTGCTATATTATACAAATGTGTTTTGCTACAAATTATACTCGCCGCTCGGAAATATAAATCATGCGTTGAGTTATTAAAAAAAATGTTTACTTTACCCACTGCATGATCCGGCGGAATTCGATGCATTGAGCTTTATTGACGACGACCTCGATCAGCCAAACGAAACAAATCGAATTGCGGATGTTATTCCGCGGCTTTTGCTTTTTCCTCGTCTTCCGCGTCCACGCACACGCAGCACAATCCGCGAGCCGGTCTAGAGGTCTCTCTGACCCGGAGCTCTCGCATCTCTCTCTGGAGCGACTATCCATTTCTCGGCGCAGCGAATACACAAGAGAGGCCCCCTCTCAGCAGTGTCACGTGGGCACCGACTGAAAATCGCATAACAATATAATATATTTGCCAACCTAATCTTACAAAGCGGAAATGTTTTTAATTTCTGGATTATTTTTTATTTGAAAATACAAATATTCGGCCATGAAAATTTTTCTATCAAAATAAGATCAACTCGATGTAAACAATTTTCTTCTTTTTATTGAGAAAATAACGCATAATCAACAGGTTATGATCAATTTCTATTCCCGTAAGCTTCGGCGGGCAATTTGCCTTGATGGTGGAGGCTTAACAGGGCGGCCACCAGAGACTGAAAACCGGCGTTGTAATCTATGCCGACGTCGTTCTGGCTCCAGTTGTCCCTCGAATCGTTGTAATTTCCTTTTGCATCCGGTCCTCCAACTAAGGCGCCCACCAAAATGTGCGGGTTCGGACCTGGCGCGTTTTTATTCTTCCAACCACATTCTTGCGAAAAATTTGGACAAGAGCTGCAGAAGATTTAATCGATATAAAAAAAATATATATAAATTGCAATAACAAACCTTGCCGAGTGCTGAATTCTTTTCGGATAGTTGTTTCCGAAGCCGACCATGAAGCTGCGGCCAGTGTCACCCAAAATAAGGTTCACTTGTTGCACCGCAAAATTCAAATATGGGTTGGACGGCAATTCGAGGTTCACCATCAAAACCTCTCCAAGCTATAATTTGCCAATTAATATTTAAATTAATAGCTAAATTTCGCTGCACTTCTGGTTATAAAAGCAGTTTTAGGTACTTAAATACCCGATTACTAATTCAAAATAATTATTTAACCTCAAAACAAGCAAATGCAATGTTTGCTGCGTATCTGATGCCACCGACGGGCTGACCCGATATTTGGAACAATCCCTGCGAGTTCCTGTATGTCGAGTTGTTAATCAGAGTGTCGCACACACTCTTTGCTTCGTTTGCGTAACTCTCTTCCAAGGTGAAGGAGGCTAAAAGAATCTTTAAAAAATTCATTCGTTTTATTGTTTTCAATGATTTTTCAAATTTATAAAATACGACTTACTCGCACTCCGAGGGTTTTTTCATCCCACGAGAATTCGCCCAATTTTCTGGAAGAGAGACGGAAACTTGCGTACATGCTTTTGGCCTCGGTAAGGTAAATTTCTTGACCGGTCGCTCGATAAAGCCACAGAGCAGCCCAAACGAGTTCATCCTCATCTCCGGACCAGGATCTACCATTAAATTTCTCAATTAATTCCATAATTTTTCCACCTGCTTTACCTGTAAAATTCTGTAACTTGTGGAACAGCTCTGTGGTAATCGCCTCTGTTGTTTCTGGCGAATTGGTACAATTGCTTGGCGTGGGTCAAAAGTCTGCTACTTGTGGCAAAATCCGAAAACAAAACTGAGCTGGCCGCGAGCGCCGCCGCTGTTTCGGCCGCCAACTCTGATCCTATATAATTAGTTTTCAGAAGAATTAAAACTTGAAATAATAACTCAATAAGTTTTTTATACCAGGATGTGCGGCGTTGATTGAATAAGCCGGTCTATGAAAGTTAATATCTTCAGGTCTTCCCCACCAGTCCTGGTTTTCTTTGATGACGTCTCCGACCAGGGCGTAAAGTTCTTCTGGATGCGTGTGGCATTTTTCAAGGTACGAGGTTCCCCATTGAAGGGCGTCTGTTGCCAGCTCAAACTCGCCAACTGAAGTTTTTCGTGGAAATTGTTTAAATTGATCAAAACATTCAACTCACATATTTATTTTGCTTTAAATTTTCTTGTGATTAAGTTAGCAAAAGACAACAATATCCCTCTTTTTATGTTAAGCAAAAATTTATTGGCTTTTCAATGTTTTATTCGGGTACAAATTATTGAGATGTCTAATTTTTTTACCTCTTTTGTATCCGTCTTCATGATTGATTATTCCCCAAGCCAAAACGGTCATTGCAGCTGCCGTTGGGAATGTGAATTTTATCGTCCTTCCATCTGAAAAAAATTAAAATTTTAACATAGTTTAGTTTATTTTGAGATTTTTTACTGGTGTAGTATCCGCCAGAAAGGTCTTCACCACCATTTCCGCGGTCGTTTACGCAAGAGTCGTTCCTCCAGCTAATTCGGTTGTCGATCGGCAGAAGTCCCGACCTTTGCGCCTCGTAGAAGAGAATCGAATTGTGCACGACTGTGGCATAGTCGTACTTCAAGCGGCGTCGTTCGCTGCTGGTGCCCGCAACGGAGACTTGAATTCGATTGGCCGTGCCTGCATTACTGGTAACTGGGGGAAATAGAATAAAAAATTTGTAAAAAAATTAACTTTAATTTGGTAATAAAATAAGGAAAAATGATAATAATATATGCTCAAATCTTTAAAAAGTTTAATTTAAATGAATTTAAAATGTTATTTAGAGTTTGACCCAAAAGAATAAATATAATTAAGTAATCACCATTGCAAACAAGGGTGCCGTCAAAGTGTATGCTCTCGATGTTCAAAGTACTTGATGGTCCAACGTACTTGGCCTCAAATCCCAGCTGCAAAACGCTGTTGGCTGGCACAGGAGTCCCTTGGAATGCCCGGAGAACGAAAATTCGGTTGTTCTCCGACGTCGAAGATGCCAATCTATTCTGCAAAGGCCGAGAATGAATTCAACAATTTAATCAAAATTGAATTTATTACGATGAACTCGGTTATTGGTCTGGAGAACCTGATGGTCGCCTGCCATCTAGTCACACCTTGGCTCACAGGCAGGTTCAGTGTTGCTCGCCAGACACCGTTTTGGTGCGAATTTTCGGTTCTCGACAACAACTGGCTGCACTGCGGTAAGGACTGCTGGCCCAAGGCCGAAGGAGCCGCTACCAGGAATGAAATGGTCCACACCTTCAATTAATTCGTGTCATAATGGAGTAGGAGATTAAAATGCAATAGTCATTCACGTCAAGCCCAGTTCAAAAGCTCAAAATATATTTAAAAACTTACTTCCAATTAATTAAATTTTTATATTTAAATAAAAAACTTTGGTCTTAATAAAAATAATTATAAACAACGTACTTGTAAAGATTTAAAGACTATAATGAATTTGTTTAAACAATTCAATTATTTATTTACTTACATAAAACTATTTCCCATCCCAATTATCTAACAAAATAATAGGGAAATCAAGTTTTTAGAAAGAAACTTTCCATGACGCATCAAAGATTTAATCTTAATTTTGAAATTGCAAAGTTCAGCAGAGATAACTGTAGTTGTTGTTCAACACTCACCAGCAGCCCAACCATCTTGATGGATTAATAGCAACTGGATCGCAAGTTCACGGCTCTTGTCACTTTCTATACTATCGCTTCAACTAAAGGTCACGTCAAATTCCTCCTTGCTTACAGAATGGACGTCAGACAAGAGAAACAAAGTCGACTCCTAATCGACACAAACAAAATTAAAAGCCCGTCAAGTCACATCTTCCTCCTCTCCTCTCTCAGCTGAAAAATAATATAATGTGGCCTCGGAGCGATTGTACAAATGAGCGAGCAACTCTCGAGCGGTACAGGTTTTCTCAGGTCACGTGACCCCACCTTTCCGCAGTCAATCGAGTTGAAGGAGAGTCTCAGTGTATTTACACCACAGATGCCGGCATTACATTGATTTTGTCCTGATTATGTTGTGGATTAAGTGTTGAAATTCTTCGGGTCGAGGAGAGGATTTTGTAACCATTCGCAAACCTGCTGATTTGATTTATCTCCTCGCCGTGTTGAAAAACAAGTCTCTTTAATTGAGTGCAAAAGAAATCGAACACATAATAAGTTTGATGGATAAGCAAACTGCTCGACAGGTAAGTCGAGCAAGTTGCCTATCCTTGCTAATATAAGGCGCTCTTTGGTGTCACTAAACATTTTATTACCAATGATTGTTGTTTATTTGTCAATTGTTACAATACATTGATTTCATAAAATTATTGAAAACATTAATTTATTTGAGAGAAAAAAGGAATTGTTGGACAAAACCTGCACATCATACTTTATGAGGTTAAACATTTTGCAATTTTTGCAATCAGAAAGATTATTTAAGTCTGAGAGGTAGAGAGATATCTCTACATTTGGCAGATGTAGAGTATAAAATGTAAAAAAAGTAAACAGTTCCTATTAATTAATTGGCATTTGTGATGTACGCTTCGGTGGGAAGTTTGTTATGACAATGGAGGCTTATCAGGGCGGCCACCAGAGACTGGAAACCGGCGTTGTAATCTATGCCGACGTCGTTCTGACTGTAATTATCTCTTGAGTCATTGTAATTTCCAATTTCGTCCGGTCCGCCAACCAAGGCGCCAACCACAACTTGGGGGTTTGGACCTGGCGCGTTTTTTTCCTTGAAACCGCATTCTTGTGGGATGTTTGGGCAAGATCTAAGTTAATGAATAATAAATTTGTTTTTGTAAATTGCAAAAAAAAAAAAAAAATAAATAAATAAATCACCCTCCGTAGTGCAGAATTCTTTTCGGATAGTTGTGTCCGAAGCCGACCATGAAGCTGCGGCCGGTGTCACCCAAAATGAGGTTCACTTGTTGCAACGCAAACTTCAGATACGGGTTTGAGGGCAGATCAAGTTCCCCAATCAAAACCTCTCCGAGCTAAGATATTGGAAACTAAATAAAATTTTTTTTAGCAAAATTTACAAATTACCTCAAAACAGGCAAAAGCCACGTTTGCTGCGTATCTGATGCCGCCGACAGGTTGGCCTCTTATGTGGAAAAATCCCTGCGAGTTTCTGTATTCGGATTTTTTTGTCAGTTCATCGCAGACGCTCTTCGCCTCATTAACATATACTTGTTCTGCAGTTAAGGAGGCCAACAGAATCTGCATTTTAAATTTAATTAAATTATATTCAAATAAATAATTAATGAAATACTTACACGCACTCCAAGCGTTTTTTCATCCCACGAGAATTCGCCCAATTTTCTGGCAGTGAGTTTGAAACTTGCGTACATGGTTTTGGCCTCGGTAAGGTAAATTTCTTGACCGGTCGCTCTATAAAGCCACAGAGCAGCCCAGACCAGTTCGTCCTGGTAATGGGACCACGATCTAAAATTTCAATTCCAAATTAGTTTGTCAACTTAATTAATTTTGAAATTTCTAACTTGTAATAATTTATAACTTGTTTGACAGCCTCGTGGTAATCGCCTCGGTAATTTTTCGCAAATTGGTAGAGTTGCTTGGCGCGATTCCGAAGTCTGCTGCGAGTGGCAAAATCGTCTGCAAACACAATTGAACTGGCCGCGAATGCTGCCGCTGTTTCCGCGGCCACCTCGGAGCCTTTCCCAGTAAAATAAGCGAATTTAATTAAAAACTGAAAACAGTTTATTAATTTAAAGCTCATCATACCAGGGTTTGACGTGTTGACTGCGTAGGCCGGTCTAGGAAAATTGATGTCTTCAGGTCTGCCCCACCAGTCCTGGCCCTCTTTTTGCACGTCGCCAACTAAGACGTAAAGTTCCTCTGGCTTTGTATGACACTTTTCAAGGTATGCGATTCCCCACTTAAGGGCGTCTTTTGCTGAATTTAACTCGCCGACTGAAGTTTGAATGAAAATGAACAATTTTCAAACCGATTAGCTGACGATGTGTAACTAAGGAAATGACTTTTTGGTCAGTGAATTTATATATTGAGCTATAAGTTCAGCGAACACAACCTTGTTCAGTTATAAAAATGCAAGATACGAAACGTGGAAAAGAGATAAGAATAGGAAAATTAAATTCTTGGACAATTCAAAATGGAGCTAAAACAGAAACGAAACTGGCGCTTATGATATTTACACGGAAAAACTCTATTATACTTAAAAGTTTCCCATTAGATCTATTAAAATTTAGAGATACTTATTGATTTCATGTACTTTATTAGGGCGATTTGGAAATGAATTGGTGAAATTTTCAATTAGACTAATTTTAGAGGGGGGAATATTACAAAAATAAATATGTTAATTTCACGATGAATTCAATTTTTCAAGCTTAATATAATTTCATCCATGATCTAACAAACCAATAATTATGTATAATTAAATTACTCAACGTTATTTGGGCCGTTTTTTTAGCAGCCCCTCGTTAAGAAGACGCACAAATTTCTATTAAAAAGTTAAATTATTAATAAATTCAAACCTCTTTTGTATCCTTCTTCATGATTAATTATTCCCCATGCCAAAATGGTCATAGCGGCTGCAGTTGGGAATGTAAATTTTAAGGTCCTGCCAGCTAATTTAAAATACATAACTTTTAGTATTTAATTTGAATTAGGAAAATAATTTTAACTGGTGTAGTATCCTCCGGAGAGGTCTTCATTGTTGTTGCCTTTGTCATTGACGCAAGAATTTTTTCTCCAACTAATTCGGTTGTTGGATGGCAGCACTCCTGACCTTTGAGCCTCGTAGAAGAGGATTGAATTGTGCATGACTGTGGCATATTCGTACTTCAAGCGGCGTCTGCCTGTGCTGAGCGACGAGTTGGACACTTTAATTTGTGTAACCATCGCAGCATCACTTTTAGCTACAAGTAATTTTATTGTTAGTTATCAAATGAATGGCTAAGGAAAATTAAAAAGTTAACTAAAAGACTTTAAAGACGAAAGAAATTAATTCAGTGCTCTTTTAGTGTTGCAAAAAAGTAGTATTTATTTTTCAAAACGAATTCAATTTTGATTTTGAAATCTATGATTTTTTAAATTATATTCTTGATTATTTTGCCAAAAAGCTTTTTCAGATTTGTTTCCTTTCATTAAAAATCTTTTTTGTCAATTATTATAATCGTGATGTATCTCAATTTGGGCATAGATCGGCGTATGTATTTAATAGTAAATATAATTTGCAACTAAATTCTCTCACCATTGCAAACAAGGCTTCCATCAAAAATAATGCTCTCGATGCTCAAAGTGCTCGGCGGTCCAGTGTACGTCGCCTCGAATTGCAGATTCAAAACACTGTCTGCCTTCAAACGCTTACTTGATGGAAACGCTCGGAGGACGAATGTTTGGTTGTTGTTTGCTGTAGAAGATGCCAAGCTATTCTGAAAATTTCGAAAATCAATTAAATTTTTCTAACTCGATAAAAATTTCTATTACAATGAACTCGTTAATTGGTCTAGAGAATTTTACAGTCGCCATCCATCTGGTAACGCTCTTCTTCACGGGCAGGTTCAGTTTAGCACGCCAGACACCGGATTGGTGCGAATTTTCGGTGTTCAAAAGCAACTGGCTGCATTCTGGTAAGGACTGCTGACCAAAGGCTGAGGGAAACACTAGCAGCAGTGTCAAGGTCCACACCTTCAAAATTGTTTATAAGAATTGAAGCACTTCAAACATATTATTAAATTATATGATGTTAAAAAAAAAATTGAATATGGGAACAAATGTTAAACGGTTGCCACTTTTTTTAATTACGTCATTCAAAAATAAACACCGAAATTTAAAGAAGGAAAATTAGAAAAAAGGTTTATTCTACCCTCTAAATACATTGGGAAATAAAATAAGACTAAAATGAGCTTTTTCTTTAAAAATTATGATTATTTTTTTGCTGTTAAGACCGTATCAACGGAGTGAGAATAAGCATCAAATTAATTCAACATACATTGAAATTTATATAATTTAAAATTTTAATGTCGATAAAATAATTAGGGATACTAATGAAACTCTAAATGAATTTAATATAGCTACGACTGTGAATTTAATTTTTCGTTTTTAATTTTATAATGTGATTTTAACGAACAATATAAATATTACAATTCAATGTATCATCAGCTGAAAAACTCTTATTTCCAAAGAACATGAAAATCACACGAAGGTTGGATTCACCAAAATTTAAATTAAAAAGTTCAGCAGAGATAATTATTTTGTCATTCAAAACTCACCAGCAGTGTGGCCATTTCGATGGTGTAATTTGAACTGGATCACAAGGCAGCTGGAGGTTAAAAATGGGAGGGATTTGCTTTCAGTGCGCGTCTTCACATGATGAGGTTAACATGTACATCCGATTTTGTAATTTAAAAGCGGCAAAGTCATACAAGAAAGTCAAGCAAATAAAATGAACGTTTCCTGGCAGCGTATGTTCCAAAACCACTAACTTCCTCTCCACTCTGGTGAAAAATAAAAATGTGTCCTGTTAGCAAACTTGACTTTCGCTAGTCACGTGACTGACACCACCTTTCTGCGGTGTTGAAGATCGAAGATGCTTTGGAGGCTCAAAACTGGAATATGCTAATTAATTCTGTATGCAACTGTTCACAAACATTGATATGTTTTGATATTTATGCAAACAGCTCGACATGCGTGTCAAGCAAGTTGCCTACCTTAATTAAAATTAACTTTACCAAAATATCAAACTTTAAGACAGACTTTGATAATATCTAATGTGACAATTAAATCAGGATGATATAAATTTTTAAAATAATTAAGATTTAATCTTTGAAATAATAATTTTAGTCAACAACTTTATTCAAAATAAGAATTTGGTTCACAAATTTAATAATTATATCATTAGGACCAGAAATGAAAAGTATGTTTGTATTTTCATGATCAACTAATTTTATTGCGTAGCGCAGTGAAGCTCGATACAACTGGACACACCACTGGTGTAATGGGGCATCATAATAGAAGATGCAGAAAAAACTCTCCCACCAAGGCTGAAGTCCTAGGGAAAGGAAATTTCTAATACGCTTTGCTAGAATCTCATCTTATGACTACTTGTCCTCTCAACCAAATGCATTTCTTGATTTGCGCTTCTTATCGTTTAAGTACAAATGCATAAAAGAGGCCCTTAAAATTACACTATTTTTTTAAATTCTTTCTCTTTCATTTGCTCGTCAAAAATCAAGGAAGGAAATTAATTAAAAAAAAATTACAACCTAAATAAAAATAAAATATTACTTTACATCATTACACAGCCTTAATTTCCACTTGAATTAATTGAAACATTCGTACCACACAGTGGACTCCATAACAATAATTAGTTACCTTTCTTTCTTTCATCTCAAAAGCTTGTGTGCGCTGAAATAATATTCAAAGTGTAAACCAATCAATCACCTATTGCTGTGTATCGTAAAACTACTGCGAAGAGAGTGTGTGGAAAAGCTCCACGTGGTTGAAAGAGTTGATTAAGTAATTGTACAAATTGACAAAAAAAAAATATTAATTTCATCTCCCGTCAAAATAGTTAAAATATTTTTCCAGAAATTGTCTCCTTCGACGTAGTTTTTTGAGTGGATTTTGGTTTGTACAGTGAGTTCGAAGGAGAGAACGGTTTGCATGTGTCGTTGAGCTGAAAAAATGTCCAGGAGATTTCTAGTGTCTCTGCTTGTCAAGCAAGAGCTGTCGTAATCCGGCCACAGCCGACTGGAAGCCTGCGTTGTAGTCGAGGGTGACTTCGTTGTACACATACTCTTCCCGGTTGTCCTTGTAGTAATCATTCTCATCCGGGCCACTGACCAGGGCGCCGTTCAGCACTTGCGGGTTTGCGGCAGAACGGTGGAAAGCCTCCCAACCGCAAGGAGCGGGTTTCTCAGGACAAGAACTAGAATATTAAAAAAAAAGCGTTAAAAATTGGCGAAAAAACCTAATAACATTTAAAAAAATTGATTTGTTTTTAATGTTCCAAATTTGTGTGAGTATTAAACAAATGTGATTAAAACATTATTAAAATTTTATTCTTTGTCTCATTTTTATACCAGTCTAGGAATTGATAATCCCTTTTAAATTTTATCTTAATTAATTGCTATTTATTATTTATTTTTTCAACTCATTATTATTCGAAGTTTCAATTATTTATTATAAATAATAAATATTATTATAATATTATAATTATTATAATTGTGATGTCAAGCAAAGGGTGCAGCTACCAAATTATTTAAATATTAGTTTTAATTTTTTTCTCCACAAGACAAGTAAAAATTGAAACCAATAATTTAAATAATCTATATTTTATGAATCAGAATTTTTTTCTTGACTAAATAAAAACTTTGAAAAAAAAAAACATTTATTATAAATATTAGAATAGAAAAAATAAAAAGTTTCTAACCTTGCTGCGTGGTGGGCCTGCTTAGGCGAGTTCTTTCCGTAGCCAACAATGAAGCTGCGGCCAGAGTCTCCAAGCATGTAATGAATCTGCTGCACGGCAAAGTCTCTGTACTTGTTGGGTGACAATCCAGTATCAGCGGCCTGATTAATAATTTTAAACTTGATGATTTTTGCAACGGAAATAATTTTACCTGGAGACAAACAAACGCAACGTTTGCGGCGTGACAAAGAGTTCCGAACTTGTCGATGTAGACCAGACCCTTCGGAGTGCGCTTTTGGTAGTGCACAGTGAAGTCGCAGAATGCCTTTGCCGCGTCCAAGTACTCACTTTTCCCGGTTAGTTGGGCAAGCAGAACCTTAAAAGGAATGGATTAAAATTTTTAATGGGCAAAATAATTAAAAAAAATTACTCACTTGCACGCCAGCCACCTTTTTGTTGTAGAAAAATTCATTGGGTCTCTCCTTCAGTCGGAACTTCATGTAGTGGTGCTCGGCCTCGTCCAAATACTGAGACTCGTTGGTCGCTTTGTAAAGCCAGGCTGCAGCCCAGGTCAGTTCATCTCCATAGTCGGTTGATCTGCGAGTTCAGATTTTTATTATTTTATACAACTTTAATTTTATAAAAAAAAATGCACTAAAATCAGTGCTATTGAGCTTTAAAAAGGGAATTTAAAAAGATCCTAATTTTAAATTTTTCATTTTGTTCAAACTTTTCTAAATTTTACAATCTAAAAGCAAACGTTAAATATTGATAGTTAAAATGTAAATTTTGCGCCATTTATTTAGAAGAAGTTAAACTGACTCATAATATTGCTGTGCCCCCTTGATGGCCTCGTGGTAGAGTCCTCTGTATTGGCTGGCGAATCGGTAGAGTTGCCTGGCGTGGTTCAGACACTTGGTTGCGTAGTCAGGCTTGTCTGTCCTGAAAACCATGGATGCGGCGGCCAAGGCGGCTGCGGTCTCTCCAGCAAGATCAGATCCTGGAATTGTGTTTAAGTCATTAAATAATACTGCGTAGAAAGTTGGGTAAAAAAATTTCCAATTGAATAAAAAAATTATTTATTTTTTACTGGATTGAAACTTGAAGATTAAATCATTTAAAAAAAATCCATTCGCTGGAAATATTTTAGCAATTTTCTTAATTTAAAAATTTAAAAGAAGAATAAATAATTAAAATGAAATTTAAATTTGATGACTTGAATAATAAAATGTTTCACTTTGTCAATAAAAACTGTAATTGCGATTGGAAAATAATCTCACCAGGGTGTTGGGTGTCGATTTTGTAAGAGGGTCTGGTCATGTTGAGGTCCTCGGGCCGGCCCCAGAAAGTGTGGTCAAGGTTGAAGTCGCCGACCTGCCCGTAGAACTCGTAGGGGCTGACGTGGCACTTGATGAAGTAGTCGGTGGCCCACTTGATGGCCGCCCTGCCGTACTTGAGCTGACCTGCCGACAGCACTTTTCAACAAGAGCGGCCTTTCGAGCAAGAGAGAGAGAGAAAGAGCGCTCTTAACAACGACGCGAGAAGGCGAAATAAAAACGCACGCAGAAAAATAATTTATATGAAATAACCGGCTGCGCTGGCGAGAGCGAGGCGAAATAAAATCATCTCTCATCGTAAAATGTGGATCATGTCGCGCTTTTTGCGTGCGAGACACGCCGCTTCCTTTCATTCAGCAATGAAAACAACGTCGTTCGGACGCGCATTTTTATTTATGTATCAAGGTTACCTGCAACTTCGTATGCATCTCGGTAGGACAGCATGCCCCAGGCCAGCAGAGTGGTTGTGCTCGCCATCGTGAAGCCGAATTTGACAAAGTCGCCGGCTGAAATTCAAGCGAATTCTTCAACAATCAATAATTACGAGAATTAATTATATTCCAAATTTAATTTTCATTTTCATGTTAAAACTTGTGCTTTCATAAATTATTTGTTATTCTGATTATTAATGTTTATTTAAATATAAAAACTGCAAAATTGCTTGAATTATGAATTTTCATAAAAAGTACTTATTTAATTTCGAAAATTATACACAAATTTAATAGAAAAGCTTTATTACAAATTTTTTTAATTGGAACTTGAAATCTTATATTATTTAATTTTATTAGTTTTCTATTTAATAGAAAATGGCTGAACTCTTAAGTGAACCCAAAATATAAAATATAAACTTTTTCCCTCACGAATGCTAATTTCTTATCACTTTCTGTTTTTACTCCTCAAGTTCATGTCAGTTCCACACCCATTTTTTAGCATAGTTCTAAAACTCTTAAATGCTTCTTCCGAATAATTACAACTGCAAGATATTATTTGTACACTTGTTATAAGAACGGTACTTTTTGCCACACCACACTTTTTACTGCTAAAACGTCGCAATTTTCCGTGATTATTTTCATTTTCTGTCCACATGTTCAAATCGTGCACCGAAAATTGAGTTCACGCGCCTTTGTGCCTTTTTCTTTTCGAAACAAAATTGTACAGGAACAAAAATTGTTTTTGTATAAAACATTCCCATGCTCAATTTCAGGTATTAAACAAATATTGCGCTGAGCGTTATTATTTTGATTGTCCAATTCAGCAGCGACGTGAAGTTATGCACCGCGTCCTCAAATATCGACAGTAGATTGAGAAAAATTGGCAGTTGATTTGATACGTTTGTGTCTTTGAATATATTTTGACCGCACTTTCCTCGTACGTGCTCTATTAGCGGTTGATTTGTTCACGGAAGGCTGGGAAGGTGCGCAGCCAAATAATGGTCATTATAATAGCACCCCGCGGGGAACTGCTTCGCGAGAATCGCTTTCTGCGGGGAAGGTGCACCAAACCTGTCATCAAGAAGTGCCACTTATATTTAAAGTTAGATTGACATTGATTAAAAAAATCAATCAAATCGGCACATCCTTGGCAGGAATTTTATCGCATGTTTGGAATTCGGCGAATTTCTAGAGCAACCAGGAAAGTGTTTCAATAAAAAAAAACTTTGAAAGAAATGGTCTTGCGCGTGTCATTGAATTATTTAACATAATTTTTTACTGATTGTGATGTCGTTATTATATTAATAGAAAAAACTGCATAATTTAGACCAAATCTCAATTACGCTTGTCTTTTTAAGTTGATTTTTAAAATATCCATAGCCATAATTTAAATAGTTATATTTAATTAAAAAAAAAGTTAAATTATTTGCGATGGAAAAGTTCACGATTGAATTCATCAACAGATCTTTTAATTTACTTTTGTCAAAGATATTTTAAATATTCCAATTTGCTCAAAAATAAAAGCCAATTATTATTATTCTCGTACTTGGAGCTCAAATATTTCCATTAAACTCAAGGCGGGGTACAGTTAAAATAAATACGTGTCTTTGATGGACAGCAGGAGTCACAACAAAGTCTAACGTGAGGCGCAGCCCGGGGCCAGGAACAAAGAGCAACATGCCGCGCGTGTATTTCGGAGAGAAAGTTCGGGCAGGCCGGCCGTGCTCGCGACAATTATCGAGAAACCGACTAATTATGTCGAACGCGAAACTTATTCATTTATACACACATCGGAGCCCTTTTTCCCTGCGTTTCAACGGTGCTCGTATTTGCATTAATTTTTTCCCCGCGAGTTTCGAAAACGCGCGGCGACTTTTATTTGCCGATTTTTTTCTCCCCGCGAGAGCTGAAAGAAAAAGAAAGAATTCCGGCGCGCATGAAGCAAGAGAGCGTACTCTCGCATCAATTCTGGCAGTATTAACCGCAGCACATACATAAATAAATAACTAAGTACGCATACATGCGCGCGTGTGCACTGAATACTAATTGCAAAAGTGCCACACAAAGACACGACGTGAAACATAATAAACGGTGCTCCTCTCGTTCCCGCGACCAGAGACGAGCAGCGAGCGCAGTCGTATGTATTTTTTTTCCGTATTTTTCGCAGCGGCAAATTTAATATCATCCTCCTCGCTCGTCGAAAAATAATGACGATCGTCGTCCGATTTGTCCTTATAGAAAGTGGTCGCTTTGATCTGCACGACGATTAATTACACTTAATTACGAGCCCCACTCTCAATCAGGAAAGTCTTTTAATAAGTGTGCGTGCGTGCGCGGCGAAAGAATTCTGTTAGAGTGCAGTTTGCTCAATGTGGGGTTTTTTAATTGCATTTTAAGCCAATCTTTTAACATCCAGGTTGAAATTTCCAAATTTTTTTAATATTATTACAAGTTTCTACAAATTTCTATGTATTCGATATGTAATTTATTTATTTTTTATTGATTTTCGGAAAAAATGGGGATATTTAATAAGCTAAGCGTTGTCGATACAAAACATATTCCAAGATCGAACTAAAGGAATGAAATTTTTCCCACTGTCTTAAAATAAATATTTCCTAATCTCTTCCTTTGTCTTCTCATAACTGATAACAGTAGAAAACATTTCCGATTCAAACAAAAATCTTGACCATTACTTTACCTATGCACTGTTTTTCGCAATCAAATCACCCAAATTTTTTTTATCAATTTTCATTTTGAGTACAATTATGCATATTAAAATGTTGAGCGTATTTGTAACTGAAACGAAAATAGCGTGATTATTCAACAAGTAAAGCTCAGGAAAACGCAAGCTTCCGTAGAGATAAAAGAATAAAAAATTCAATCTCTACGGAAGTTTGCGTGTTTCTAGATATACGTATTATTTAACATTATTCCTTTTTTAATTAAATCCTGTTAAAATTTTATAATCATTTTTTCCATTTTTACCATTTTCCAATGCTGATTACTAAATAAACAATGGAAACAAATGGAAGAAACCGCAATAAAATTGATTAAAACAAAAATCCGGTCTTTTGAACTCAAAAACTGTTGAAATTGTAAAATTAAAAATTATCACGGAAACACAATACTTAATTAACCTATTTCCGTATAATTACAATTGGACTAAAATGAAAGTAAATTGAAGAAACTGACCGTCATAATATCCACCCTCGAGGTCCTCTCCGCGCTGCCCCCTGTCCTTGAGGCAGGAGTCGCTGCGCCAGGGCACGCGGTTGTCCTTGGGCAGGTGTCCCGAACGCTGGGCCTCGTAGAACAGCAGCGACAGCTCGAGCACGCGGTCGTAGTTGTAGTTGCCGAGGGTCGTGGTCACCTCCTCCGAGGACACCGTCTGCGGGGGACTCGGCAACGAGCTGCCGCCCACGATCGCCGGACTGCCGCGCACGGCCGCCGTCCACGACCGCTGCAGCGTCAGAAGCGCCACCAACAACACCGGGACACCCATTCTGCAAAATTTCAAATTTTCATCATTATGCAATATTTGATTTTTTTCCAGAAAACTATCAGACTGATTAAAATTTATTAATTTTTTATACTTTCAAATAGAAAATTTTAATTTTGGATTTCTGAAACTCAAGAGCGAGAAAATAAAAAGATGGAGATCGCATTCATGTTTTATCTTCTCGATTTTTTTTTAAATTTTAAACTGAAAAATTAATTTCCAAAGACAGAAAGCTAATTATGTTTTGTGAAAGTTACTTTTTATAATTAAATAGCTATAATATTTGCATTTAAATTCGTTTTCAAGGCGTTGGTATGTAAAAACCACTTGAATCTTAAAACCTGCTAAAAAAATTTAAACTTACAATTTAAACTTCCAATTTTTAGTCACCTAAAAATTATTTTTCAGTAAAAATCAATAAATTTAGTATTATGAAATCTTAGATAATGATTACTATTGATTTAAATTTAAGCTATTGAGCATAATTTTTTTAAGTAAAAAAGCTTATTGCAACCTAGCTGAAAATATCACGATACGTTTTGAAAAAGTGACAGCTCGTTTAATAATTGTAAGCTCGCGAAATAGTTCAAATTGTTTGAATATTAAATGGCATTACTGCGCAATTAATCGCGCAACGTCTCCAAATGGCTAATTATAGCTCTAAAACGCAGCCGTAAAAACGCAGTAAAAGACAACCTGTTATTATATTCGGCGGGTGGTGTACATTAAGCCGTGCCAAACATGACATATCTGCTTCGGCGAAACGACGTAGAAAATTATAAAAAAGGCCAATAAAAAAGGAGAATTCGCCTCCGGTCACTAACTTCTGATACTTTTCGTTTTTATATTGTTGTCATCATTTTGCGTTTAATTAAGGCAAAATTTCGCGAACGGGCCGCCGACGGACACTTTCGCGGCGTTTGCCGGGGTCACTCACGCGCGCTTGGCTCGGAATCAACCGAGAGCACTTTTGGCCGCGCTTTCTACACCACATAAAATACATAACAAACTCTTGGCGTGTCATTATTACTGTTATAATAATTACGTATTTGTGCGCGAGTGTGTTTCCCAGAGTCGGCTGGATCTTGTAAAAGACAACCTTGTGCTCTAATAACCTAGTCAATTAAGGCACTTTAACGTATCGCATCCATAAACGCGCGCCGCGTTTATTCAAATATCCACCGCGGCGGCTCTTTTTATTGCACCTTTTTGCAGGTGTCAGTCCGCGGCAACTTTCAATTTTTATGCTTTTTTGCTCGCGCGTCGGCCGACCAGTGTATTATTATATTTTCATATTTGAATGGAAAAAAAATCAATAGCACGGGAAGTTGTAAAAATGCCGCCGCCCTGCGTGAATGTGAAGCAAAGAGACTGTCGGGGACATTCAAATTTCCATTTCAGACCGGAGGTCGGCACTAAAATAAGGTAAATTTTACACCCTTGCGTACATAAATTACAAATTTTTATCTATAAAAATTATCTTAATGATCTAATTGTTTAGATGAAAAGTCACAGAAGCTGAAATTGAATTGCTATAAATGATTGAAATTTGTCTTACAATTAATTAATTTTTTGTCTGAGCTTTATTTATTTTTAATTAGAAGGGTTGAAAAGGTCTAGAAAAAATAGGTCTAGAAAGCTCTAAAGAAATAAAAAAAAAAAATCATTTTTTTAAGACATTGAATTTTAAAGTGTGATACGTGGATGAATGTAGTGAATATAATTTTAAAAAATTATAAAAATGGAATAGGTAGAAAAATTGCATCAATTATCTGGAAAAATTTAATATATCTAATTTATTAGTTGTGAAAATTATTAAGTTAAAAATTTAATTCCTCGAGCAAAATTAATTCTTATCTTGCAAAGCACGTCAGATCGAATATTACAACAATATAGCGTGTTTGGCGAAATTTCCAACAAAAACAACCAAATTTTCACGCAGTCTGTGGAGAACAAGGCGATTCAAATAAAATCCAGAGCAGAGCGCGGCTGCTGTTGTGTATTCCGAATCGCTCGGAGCGGCGCGCGGCCGAAAATCCAGAATGGCACATAAAATGATCCGGCGCAATCCATCATGCCAAGCATAGCCCATTGTTAGCGGCCGCGCTTTTTTGCGTTCGCGCCGTAATAAAGGATAAAATTTAATATTTCAAATTCCAGCCCTCATGAATATGGCGGCCTTGGCTTTAACTTTCTTGAAGCATATAAAGAAAGAAAGAGAGATGCTTCTCTGCAAAACATTATTCGCATGCAGAATAACTCTTTTTGCCATAAAAAAATGCGTTGCTCCCGCACGTAACGAGTACATACTTATACGTGTACGCTCGTACTTTACAAATTGAAATTGCGCGCTTTTTTGCGTTTTGAATCTCGTCCCCATTGCATTTAGTATAATATAAAGTATCCGCGACTTGATCTCTCTCAACTGGCTCTTTTTGCGCGGCAGAAATCAGAATTTTAAGGAGCAGGTCCCTCTTTTGTTATACATACGTCATCTTGCAAGAGGCAATAATTCAAGTTGATGTGGTAGTTGCCATTAATTTATAGTCTGGACAACTCCTGCCTGCCTCGTCAGTGTCTCAGGCTTGAAAAAAAACGGCCGCTCCAAAAGGGGGGAGAAGTTTTTTCTCGGAACCCATGGCCATATTCCTGGACTCGAGTGGCCGATTTCTTAAATAGATAAATTGTTACTCATCCGAGGCCGCGACTCTCAAATCAAGAAGAAAGCCGGCAAATTTCTCCGACGCTTTAAATTTCAAGTTGGAAAAAAATGTTAATTTTTCAGAATATCTCGGCTGGGAATTTTTGCATCAACAATTTTAACTATTCTGCTCAAAATTTCGAATTGAAAATTAGTTTATTTCAAATTTTGATTTCGCCGAAGTTGAAAAATGTACCGAGCCAAGAATCGCGGCGCGTCATGTGAGCGCCAAGCTCAAAACCTTTGTGAATTTTCCAGCAGAAATATGCACTTGCGACAGAAAGGGAATGAAAAATCGGGGCGAGTGCGACCCGAAAAGTGTACTTACGGGCAGTTGGAGTGGTGAAGGGTGTCAGTCAGGCAGTCAGTCAGGTGCGTTGTGTCGCAGGCTTGCACTTACTCTGCGCTTTATGAAGCAGCCACGAAATGAAGCAAACTCTGGTGCTGATGGACAGAGGCGCGGCAGCTCTTATAATATTGTAGGTGGGGGGAAATTTATATGAGTTGTGTGTGTGTGTGCGTTTATATATATATTTGTTTGCGTCTGCCAGGCCGGCCTGCACACGCATCACTCTCCGACGCGAAACGACACCGAAAAATATAAATCAAGCGAAAAATTGTATCGCAAATTTCGTGCAGGCCAATTACGGTAATTGCAGTAGGAAAATCCTGCTGTGTATGCAAATCGCTGATTTCACCTGACCGCGGGACATTTTCGCTTTTATCTCAATGCACTATAAAGCGTTCTTGCTCTTGATTTATACACCCCCGTCTTCTGAGAAGCGGTGACGATTTTCTGGCTTTTGCATACGCTCGGGTGGGCGCCCGTTGGAAATGTCACGCGGAGATTTACGTCCTCGGACATAAGGAAGCGTTTTGGAATTTACGGAGCAACTGAATTTTTCTTGGAAATTAATTTTTCATTCCTTATGATCAAAATATTTAAATTCTATTGAAAAAGATACAGATTAATTTGATCTGCTAAAAAAATTCCAAAAAGATCTATAACGTTAAAAAGAACCGAAATTCTTTGGCTTTGAATCACAAATCTTAAATTAAATTAAAACATTTATATCGAACTTTCTTTTTAATTTTTTTAAGCACACTGTATGTCGTTCTTGATTAATCAGATCAACATAAAATTATATCAAACAATTAGTTCACAAAATCTATATTTATTTTATTTCTTATTTCTTTTTCAATTCAGGGAGTGTATTCTCATTTAGCAGGCAACAGTTAAGAATTGAAAGCAAAATAATAAAATATACACTATTTATAATTATTTAAAAAATTTCACACAGATTCCTTCACTTATGCAACCCACTTTGAAGATGTGCAAAGCACGTTGCATATTATACATTTCAAACCCCTAAAAATTAAGATTGGCAGATTTTAATCAGTGGCTAAATGAACTTCTTTTTAGATTATAAAATAGATTTTGTAAAAAAATTTAAAGAATCAATATAACTATTGAAAGTTGGTGGACGCTTTGGTCTGAAAAAGCTCAATATTAACGCATTTTTAAAAAAAAGATTTCGTAACGATAATTAAATCCAATATATATGTTTCTGAATGGCTCATCACGGATACGTTTCTTCATTCCTTCTCTTTGTTTAGTTTTCATTTATTTTTATAAAGATCACAACAAGGTAATTTATCCTTATCACTGAATAAAATACGAACAACTTCAAAGCAAAAGTAGTTATTTCTTTAATTCAAGACAACTTGTCAGAAATAAAACTTTGTTGTGGTTTTATCTAAAAACTTATTAAATAAAATTATTACTAATTTCTTCTACTGAACATGAAAATTTAAAATATATTTTATTTAATTATTTGTAAATTTGTGTATCTTATTGACAAAAAATCAAAACGTGTGATAAATGTAGCTAATCTTAAATATAGCAAAATAATTTATCAAATTTTGAATTAAAATTATAAAATTCCCATGGTTGACTGTTTTTTGTCATGATTGTGAGTGGCATCGCAGACGACTGATTGCGGTGGATCCCGATCACATATTTTGAGCCGCCCAGCGCAATAATCTGCGCTGCCTCGATACCATAAAAAGCAGAGTCGAATCCGCGCCAGAGCACCCGAGGACAAAGCAACGGGCGAAACTGCAATTGATCGTGGTCTGGTTTTATTGCAAATTCTTAATTCCAGGCTGCTTGCTAAAATAATATACATATATTAAAAAAGCAGCAGTTGCGAAAAGCGCGAGACAGCTCAAAATCTGCACGCAAGGCATTGTATATAAAATTTTATTCGTCCGATCTCTTTTTTGACAGAGGCAGAGGCTTGGCCGGCACAAAAAATTGCAAATGCCTAATTATAGGCCGTACATACAAGTCGGAGGGAAGAAGTAGTTTGCGCTTCGCACCGAGAGCAATGAGAGCAAAAAATTAGCACGCGGTCGACGTGGGAGACTGGCCGGCTCTGATTTTTTATTCGGCTCTCGTGATTTTCAAGTCAAAAGCTCAGCTTTGATCGCGCTTTACAATCCAATTATCCCTGAGGACATGCGCTGTGTTTAAGATACTCCTAAAGGAAGGGACCCTCAATAAATGTGGGTTATGCTAATAGCGTGATCACTCCGCGGCCCCTATGGCGTGCTTCGAATTAAAGCAGCGAATCCGACTCTTCACACAATGCCGTGCCTCATGTGCGAGTTTGTGGATGAAAAAGCAAAATCGCCAGATTGGATCGAGCGAGATCCAATCTCGGCAGCCTCCCTCTTTTGCACTACTTCTATTTTGTACTCTCAACTGCCCAAAAATGGAACGCAACAAAACACACACAAAAAAAATAAGATAATCAAGCAATTTGGAAATGATTTATTCCCCATGGATTGCAATGTATCAATCATATTTTGGAATGAGCCACTAAAAAATAATTTTAACAACAAAATCAAAACTTTTGGGCAGATGTTAAGAAATTTCCCAAATTTTAACGAAAAAATTGTTATTAAAAATGAAATTGTATAAATTTAATTTTCCGAGCTTTTTTGTTTCTGATGAAAAGATATTTAAGATTACGTATTAGATCTGATCAGCAAAAAGATTCAATTAAAAAAGAAAATAATAATATTACTGTTTCTTCTTTTTCTTTTATCTCACTTTTAAAAGAATATTTTAAGTAAGTTGATAATTTTTAGTCGTGATAACAAAATATTATATATTAACTTGAGATGACCTCTTGGGCTAGCCATGTTATGTATAACTAGCTAGGAAGGATATCTGTGGTGCATCTCCCTCATTAAATAAATAAAAGTCTACTGAATTATAATGTAAATTTATTTGTTGGTTGGACCACAAAATTTAATGGTACAGAATCTGCAGCCAAGGTTCAATGGATATAAATCTAGATTTTTCCACTTACTGAAAGATTTTTTTAAGTTTCAACCAAATTTTAAATTTTATCTAACACTGAAATATTTTCCATAAAAAATAGACCTGTTGTGAGCTCGGATCTAATTGTAAGAAGGTGAGAATGTAAATGGAGAAAAACTACAATGGTTGTTTTGGAGACGGTGAACTCGACAGGCAAACTTTTCGCCCGCAGAGAGAACCGGTCAATCACAAAACTAGAATGGCAAACACGAAACTAAACCAGAGGAGATAATATATCTGACTGCTGTGAGCTTTGTTTCAATAAAAAAGCAATAAGGTAATGACGATTAGCATCAGCCCTTTGGCGCACGAAAAATATTATAAAAAAGGTGGAATAACCTCTGCGCGCGAGTGCGGTCTGGGGCGGCCTATAAAACAAAACTGCTCGCGCCGCATCATCAGGGTCAATCACTCCGGCCGCCTCACCAAAAAAAAAACGCCGCACATATCCATCAAAAATCGGTGCCAAATCAGCGGTTTTGGCACCAATTCCGCGCACAATCGGTCGCTTTTTGGCACTTGCTGAAGCCTAAATACTTCGGGAGCTGCTTGAAATTCGTCAAATTTCTGCGCGAGGTGTGAAAATGCATGGGCGTGGAATGACTGCGCGACACTTCTTGTAATCGCACTGCTCATCTGCTCCACTTTGCAATTCCATTTCCTGATTGTTATGTAATTAATTAGTTTTATTTTAACATTCTAAGTGCTTTTAAGAAGTTACTCCTTGGTCTGTAAGCCAAAATAATATAATTTATGAGAAAATTTTTTTAATATGCTAAAAAATTTAAATCAATTTGTAAAATATTTACCTAATAATATTTTTTTTTTAAGATTAGGATTTATTTAAAAACTTTTGTTCAAGTTTATTGTTATTTTTATTTATTAACGCTACGAATCAGTATGATGCATACGGAGATCGTCAAGCAATACCACAGCATTACACAGTTATTAATTTGCAACTAAACGTAAATAAAATAATAATAATTGAAAATAATTATTATAATAATATAATCACAGTTTAAAATAATAGCAAATAATGACAATAATATCAATAAAATATATTTTTTCAGTTCAGCGTAGCTAATTATTTGATAAATAAAATTAAATATTTTCCTAAACATGCGTTTGACAAAATAATGTTCAATTTAATTTAATTTAAACCTAATCATATTGTACTAAACAGCTCTTGAAACAATCCTAAACTAAAATTTGCAAAGCTCAAAAAATACAAATTTGGTCAAGTTATAATTTTTGCTTTAATTTGTTCACGTTACGAAACAATAATTACTTTTTCTTCCGCATTTATTCTTTCTTTTTTCTTTACAGGCCACAAAAAAATTAAAACATCGCCGTAATTCAATTACGGCTCTGCTCACTGTCGCTCTCCGCACTTGCAATTTGAGGCGGGCAATCAAACAATTACGCTCCAACGCACGGAGTGCACGAAAAAACCGGCGGTGCACTTTAAAGAGGCGTGAAGAGAAGAAATTTAAATAATAATAATTATGATAATAATAAATAACAACAACGGGCTCGCTAATGAGCGGTGCACGCGCTAGCTGGAATCAGTAATTGGCAATATAAGTTTATAAATTTTATTTCGCATGGGAAAGAGATCGAGTGCAGCAGGTTGCATGTGCACCGGCGATTAGCCCGGTCTGTAATTATACGTCATGAGACGTGCTAGAGAGATGCATCTGGGCCCAGACGAGGGCACGATTGGTGTGTCTGTGCATCACATTATTACTTACTCGTTTCGCCATTTTTATATTTTATTCCTCTCTCCGCTTTGTATCGTCGCATGAGTCTTTTTTTTAATTTTATTTTTAGACCTCGATCGCCTCTTCTTGTTCTCTGCACGCTAATTTTTATATCAAGGCTGAAATTCATTTTATTGGCGACTCTCACGCGCTCTCTTGTCGAGAGATTCGCGTTTTTCGCACACATGATTCACAACAATCTTTTTGCATTTCGCTCGCAGTCAAATCGGCGTTTCTCTCGAACTTTCTGCGCGAGTCGGGCATATGAAGAAAAAAAACGAGCAGAAAAATAATCAAAAAAATTAAG